CTTATTTTATTTTTGGCTGCACTGGGTCTTTGTTGCTGAGTGCAGGCTTTCCCTAGTTGTAGGGATGGGGGCTACTCTCTAGTTTTGGTGTACGGGCATCTCACCGTGGTGGTTTCTCTTGTTGCAGAGCACAGGCTCTCGGGCACATGGGCTTCAGTAGTTGTGGTGCCTGGGCTTAGTCTCCCTGAAGCATTTGGGATCTCCCCAGACCAGGGATCGAACCCACGTCCTCTGTATTGGCAGGCAGGTTCTTAACCCCTGGACCACCCGGGAAGTCCTCAGTGAGAGTTTTGAAGCTGTTTCCTTAGGAAAAAGGCTGAGAGGCTTCCTTATCCTGAAACTGCCAGACAAGAGTCTTCGGGTGGAGAAAGTTCCTCTTGAGCTCTTCCCTCAGGGGGGTGACCTTAAACCTGTAACTGGGAAGGGGTGTGTTGGCGCTGCTGTTCATGTGGCCCTGAGGGAGAGTGTCAGGTTGTGGGGTTATTTATCACAGAGTCACCCATGAAAGATTAACCATTACCTACCTGCCGACTCATTTCCTACCACTGGAGCTCAATTTCTGGGCAGGAAACCTCCCTCAGTTCTGGAAAGGAAAACCAAGCTGCAGCTTGGCCCTGAGGCCCCCAATGGCAGATGTGATTCAGGGAAGAAGGAAATTATGTTTGTTCTGTGAAGAAGAAGAACATTAGTATCATGCGAGGCTGAACAATCAGAGGCTGGCCTGGAGGACAGCACAGGGTGGAGTTGTGGGGTTCCAGTTCAGTTCAGTTCAGTCGCTCAGTTGTGTCCGACTCTTTGAAACCCCATGAACCGCAGCACGCCTGGCCTCACTGTCTATCACCAACTCCCGGAGTTCACCCAAACCCATGTCCATTGAGTCGGTGATGCCATCCAACCATCTCAAACTCTGTCATCCCCTTCTCCTCCTGCCCTCAATCTTTCCCAGCATCAAGGTCTTTTCAAATGAGTCAGCTCTTCACATCAGGTGGCCAAAGTATTGGAGTTTTAGCTTCAACATCAGTCCTTCCAATGAACACCCAGGACTGATCTCCCTTAGGATGGACTGGTTGGATCTCCTTGCAGTCCAAGGGACTCTCAAGAGTCTTTTTCAATATCACAGTTCTAAAACATCAATTCTTAGGTGCTCAGCTTTCTTTATAGTCCCAACTCTCACATCCATACATGACCACTGGAAAAACCATAGCCTTGACTAGACAGACCTTTGTTGACAAAGTGATGTCTCTGCTTTTTCATATGCTGTCTAGGTTGGTCATAACTTTCCTTCCAAGGAGTAAGCGTCTTTTAATTTCATGGCTGCAATCACCATCTGCAGTGATTTTGGACCCCAGAAAAATATGTGGGGTTCCATCTGACATCAAAGGAGCAGGTGTGCTGAGAGGGCTGGAGGGTGGTCTGGACGTTGTGATGGGGGACTTCCACCTCAGCCTGAGATATTGCAGGGGTCTGGGGAAGGGGAGGGGGGCAGCAGGAGAAACAGCACTTTTGGGAAAAGCCGAGCTTGGTAAAGAAACCGCCTGCCAATGCAGGAGACGTGAAAGATGCAGGTTCGATCCCTGGGTCGGGAAGATCCCCTGGAGGAGGGCACGGCAATCCACTCCAGTATTGTTGCTTGGAGAATCCCATGGGCAGAGGAGTCTGGAGGGCTACAGTCCACAGGTTCACAGAAAGTTGGACATGACTGAAGAGGCTTAGCACGCATGAGCTTCAGCTAAGGCAGGGAAGTGGGGAACTGTGACTGGGAATATTGGGGCACCCAGAGCACAGGGGAGAGTGGGGGTGACTGTGGCACGCCGGGTCAGTAGGGAATTTAGGCTTAGGAGACACGTGGGCATTAGCCCCAATCTTGAGGTGCTGGAGCATTGCACCAGGGGGCCTGGGGCATGATGAGAGGCCCTACAGCCCTGGGAGGTCAGGTTGGAGCTCAGGTAGCAGTGTTGTCTGGAAGAAGCTGCATCAGGCCTGGCAGTGGAGGGGACTTAGAAGTTGAGGTGGATTCCGTGGTCCTTAGAGAGTCAGGGGCCTCCAGATGATCAGCGTTCTCCAGGCCTGAGCCCAGGCCAGATGTCCCGACTAGACCACAGTGCCCTTTCCCACAAGCTCGGGCAGATCTCAGGTACAGCATCACAGTTGCCCCAAGAGCCAAAGTGGGAATGTGTATACTGGCCTTGGCTTTGCCAGCCTGCCCACTTCATAGATGAGGAGACTGAGGCTGAGAGAGGACAAATGAGTTTCCCAGGTCAGGCTGGCACAGGAATGTCAGGTTTCCTGTTCTCCATGCTGCTGTGGAGTGTCTGCTGGCTCAGGACTCCAATGGGCACCAAGCCCGCAGGCTGCCCTCTGGGGTCAGCAGGAGAGAAGGGGCAGGCAGGGTGACCATTCGTGAAGGAGAGGCTGGCTCAGTGCCCTCTGATTGACACCCGACGTTGTGGAACAGGTCAGGCCAGGCAGTTACCTCCCCTCCTCCTTCCCAGAAAGATCAGAGGCTCCTGGCCTGTGAGTAGACCAGTTCAGTTTCCAGAACCAGGTCATTTAGAGAAAGAGAAAGGAAAGCAACCCTATTTGTTAAAATCCCAGGAATGGTCTGGGCCAGGAGAAATCATCTCCTTTCCCTCCCATCTGGAGATTTAAAGCCATGAAGTGGGGCTTCTCTGCTGGTCCAGTGGTGAGGAATCCACCTGCCAATGCAGGGGACTCAGATTCAATCCCTGATCCAGGAAGATCCCACATGCCACGTGGAGACTAAGTCCGTGTGTCACAACTACTGAACCTGTGCTCTAGAGCCCAGGAACCGCAACTACTGAAGCCCAAGTACCCTAGAACCTCTGCAACAAGAGAAGCCACTGCAAGGAGAAGTCCGAGCATCGCAACGAGAGAGTAGTCCCCACTCGCTGCAAGTAGAGAAATACCTGTGCAGCAGCGAAGACCCAGCACAGCCAAAAATAAATAAATAAGTAGAATGATGAGGGGAAAAAACATGGGATGAAATGCAGGGAAACCTCTTCTGGGGTGTCTTCAGCAGTGGAGAGGAGAGTCAGGTCGGGGAAACTTAAGAACCTTCATGTTGCTGAAAAGGACCGTGTCTAGGCCATTTTGGGATTCACGCTCTGTGCAAGTTGACAAAAAACAGGGCTGTGCCTGACATAGATTTTTACGGCCTCCCTGCCCTCCTACACTAGGCAGGACTTCTTGGTTTATTTGCTTTTATCTGGATCCTGTAGAACTCACATGGGTGGAGAGCCACGGTGGGGGGGGGGGGGTGCGGCGGTGCCATGACTTGGACCCACTCCAACGCTAATCTCAGGGGTGAGCCAGATCATCCCCACCCCATTATGTCTCTGTTCTATTGGTTTTCCAAATCCCTGGAGTGTATCTGGAGAAATCCTCGGGCAGGGGGAGGAGGGGGCTGTAGAACGGATACAGATGGGGGCCAGGTGCCTTGGAATATCCTGGTTCCATGATGCCCACCTGGCAGATGCTTCGTGTGCTGTCTATCCCCATCTTTCTCCTAAGGAGCTAAATGCTTACATCTTATCCTCTGGCATCTCTTACATGGTGAATTGTGTCTCCTCCTTTCATATGTGTAGTCCTAACCTTCAGAATGTCACTGTATTTGGAGACTAGGCTTTTTCAAGAGGGAATTAAGGTCGGAGAGAGGTCATGAGGGTGCCCTTCATCCAAATCTGACTGCTGTCCTTATAAACGGAGGTGATCTGGACACAGGTACGTACAGAGGGGAGGTCATGTGAGCACACGGGAAAAGAGGGCCATCTGCATGCCAAGGAGAGAGCCTCAGGAGAGACCGACTCTGCTCAGACCTTGATCTTGAACTTCTGGCCTCTAGGATTGGGAGAAGATAAGTTTCTGTTGCTTAAATCAGCCAATCTGTGTAGCCGGAGGAAACCCATCACCGCATCTTATTGTTTAGTCGCTCAGTGCTATCCAACTCTGCGACCCCATGGACTGTAACCCACCAGGCTCCTCTGTCCATGGGATTCTCCAGGCAAGAATACTGAAGTGGGTAGCCATTTCCTTCTCCAGGGGATCTTCTCAAGGATCGAACCCATGTCTCCTGCATTAGCAGGTAGATTCTTTACCACTTAGACACATGGTAAGCCCTCACCATATCTAGGAAAACCTTAATAAGTGGGTAAAGAGACCAGCCATCTCTAGGAGCCCCTGGGCAGGTCATATGCAAAAGGTCAGAGACATAGATCTTGTTCCCAACTGTGTCTCTCCTATTCTAAGAGGTGGGAAGGGATGAAGGGCTGTCCTATTGCTTAACTCCTTACATCTTGGGTCCCTTTAAAAATTGAAAAGAGGGGACTACCCTGATGGCTTCCCAGGTGGCTCAGATGGTAAAGTGTCTGCCTGCAATGTGGGAGACCTGAGTTCGATCCCTGGGTTGGGAAAATCCCCCGGAGAAGGAAATGGCAACCCACTCCAGTATTCTTGCCTGGGAAATCCCGTGGACAGAGGAGCCTGGTGGGATATAGTCCATGGGGTTGCAAAGAGTCAGACACGACTTAGCGAGTGAACACAAACTATGTGGCGTGGCCCCAGGAAAGAAAAAATTGAAGACAAAAACGTTGAACCTGTTGAGTTATATAAAGCAACATTGGCTGTGACCGCAGATCTCAGGAATTTCTGGTCCTTTCCAGACTGACCCGCCTTGGCTGAGATTATGGGGTGGGGGTGGGGGTGCGAATGATTCACAGAATAGCTGTTCCAGTTCTGGGCTGGAGGAGGGGCCAGAGCCTGGGCCATTGAGCCCGAGGACCTGGGCTTTCTGGTGGCCATCACAGTTGGCTGTCCTCCCAGCTCAGTGGAGTAAAGAGCGACCGAGCTGCCTCTGGGGGAGGAAACAGTTAAAGTCCTACCGCAGCTGCAGTCCTCTGGGCGTGGTTCTGCTGTCAGACTCGGCTCCGGATCCTGGGCCCAGAGGCAGAGGAAGCCCAGCTCCACAGCGGCAGACCGTCTACATGGCTGAATTGGATCTGATGGCTCCAGGCCCGTTGCGCGGGGTCCCCGCTCATCCTCCGGCCGCTCTCAGCCCAGACTCTGGCTCGGCCAGTCCCGCAGAGGAAGAGGGCCCGGGCTCCCCGGGGAGCCCCCCAGGGGAAACTGGGGGACAGGGCTCTGAGTGGCAGGGGGCTCCTGAGGCAGAGGGCCTGGAGGAGGAGGAGGAGGTCCTGTGTGACTTCTGTCTCGGGGCCAGCAGGGTGAGGGCCGTCAAGTCTTGCCTGACCTGCATGGTGAACTACTGCCCGGAGCACTTGCGGCCGCACCAGGAGAACAGCAGGCTGCACGGCCACCAGCTGACCGAGCCTGCCAGGGACCGGGAACTGCGGCTGTGCCCCGCGCACCGCAGCCCACTGATCGCCTTCTGCGACCCCGATGGGCGGTGCATCTGCGAGGAGTGCAGCCAGGCCCAGCACAGGGACCACGCCTTGGTCTCCCTGGACGCCGCCCGCAGGGAGAAGGAGGTGAGCGCTGGGGTCTGGGGGAGAGGGAGGTGGGGCGGCCGTGTGTCAGGGGAGACCGCCAGGCCTCTGCCGAGGCTCCTGGGACGGCGTTCTCTCAGCCTTGCTACCTGGCGGTACACCCAGCCTGAGTGTCTCTTGCACTTGGCTCTGGGACTCTGCCGTAGCTCACTCTGTCCCCACTAGCCCCACTGTCCCTGAAACGCCCTCTGTCTGTCTGTCACTCCTCTTGCTGGTCTCCTGCTATTTCTCACTCAGCTTTCAATGCTGATCTGTGTCTGGGGGTGGGATATACGAGGTGTACGACTGAGGACAGTGGTCTTCCCCTCTGGTCAGGTCTGAGTGGCAATGAATGAAACGTAAACCTTGGCAGAAATTCTGGAGAAAAGAGCCAGAATTTCCCCCTAATTTCTCTTCTTCCCTTTACCCCAAACCTAATTTCTCTTCTTCCCTTTACCCGAAACGAGATCGAGATATCGGGAGACAGAGCCCCTCTGGAGGTGCCAGCTATGAAATTCAAGACCTTGAGATGGGCTAACTTAGAACTGGGAACGTCTTTCCTGGACAATGTCAGGACCACTATCTTTAGGGAAAATAAACCTCCTCATCAGATAGAGGCATCGGGAGAGACAGAAACACTGTGCTCATAGCCTGTAATTTTATTCCCATCAGATAGGGAAACTGTTTCTGGAACAACTGGCTTTTCTCTGCCCGAAAGCTGAGAGCCTGGAGAATTCTTGGGAATGGACTTAAATGCTTTGTTTTCCTTACTTGGACTTCCTACCAGCACTTTTGTTCTGGAAGTGCGGGGGCGGGGGAGGCAGGCGGGGAATGTGCAGTTGAACTTTGTCCCACATTTCTTCCTTTCTTTCTTTTTTTTAAATGTTTATTTATTTAGCTGTGTCCGACCTTTGTTGAAGCTTGCCAGCTTAGTTGCTTAGTTGCATCTTAGTTCCTTGACCAGGGATCGAACCCTTGTCCCCTGTATTGAAAGGTGGATTCTTAGCCAGTGGACCACCAGGGAAGTTCTGTGCCACATTTCTTGTGTCCAGATGCTGGGCAGCTCCCTTGTTGGCACTGAGCACAGTGCCTTGGCCCAGGGCTCCAAGACAGCTGAGAAGGAGCTTCCTGGGAGGGGCAGGTTCCTAGCAGGGTCCCTCTTCCACGTCCTCCCTTAAGTGTGGATTTTATCTGGTGTTAGTGGGAATAGTTCTGGAAAGTTCTGTATCCCAGATGTCAGTGAGTCACCAGCTCTAGAATCCACTTGTCAACTGTTCCCAGCATCTCTAGTGCCAGGAAATGTCCGGTCAGGAGAGCTGGTCATTTCCACCCACTCCTCACGTTCACGGCCATGAGGAGGCTCTTTATCAACGGACAGGTCAGAGGACAGAGCTCCAGGTAATTGAGGAAACTGGTCTTGGAGGGTTGCCATGTGCAACATGCTTCCCTGGGATTTCCCCATTCGGTCCTAGGATAACTCTACAAGGTGGCATCCCTACCACATTTGTCCAAGCTCATACAGATGGCTAAGTCATGGAGTGAGGGATGGGAGCGTCTGGAAGGCCACCCACTGAAGGACACAAGGAAAGACCCCAAGGTCACAATATTATAACCTTACTTTTTAAAAAAAATGCACCAAAAACCTGCCATACATGTAGTAAAGAGTTGAAGGCAGAGTGCATTTCCTTTGTTCAGGGTATAATATCTGAATTCTGTCATGTTTAACTGGAAAAGGAATGCATGTACATACACACAGAGGAACAATCACCAAATACTGCAATAGATTTTACCAGAAAAGGTCTCCCTCCCATCCTGGATCCACCCATCTTCTTCTTCAGAAGTATATACGCTCAGCCACTAAGGCGTGTCCGACTATTTGCAACCCCACGGACTATACCCCTGCCAGGATCCTCTGTCTATGGGATTTTTTCAGGCAAGAGTACTGGAGTGGGTTGCCATTTTCTTCTCCACGGGAGCTTCCCGACCCAGGGGAGTAACTCTCCATGGGAATAACATTGATCCCCAGGGATCGAACTTGCATCTTTTGCATTGCAGGTAAATTCTTTACCTTTGAGCCACCTGGAAAGCCTCTCTTTAGAGGTAAACACCATCATATGCTCTTCCTTCTTGTTCCTTTCAGAAATTCTGTGCCTGTAGCAGCATAGATACAATATGAATTTTAAATGTAGTGTAAGCTGGTGCATTGCAGAGACATTGAGTAGTTGTCATTCTGAGCAGGGAGAGTTGTTTAGTGCAGGGATCCCCAACCTCCAGGATCTAACCTGACAATCTGAGGTGGAGCTGACGTAATAATAGAAGTAAGTGTTAGTTGCTCAGTTGTGTGCAACTCTGCGACCCCGTGGACTGCAGCCCTCCAGACCCCTCTGTCCATGGGATTCTCCAGGCCAGAATACTGGAGTAGGTAACCATTCCCTTCTCCAGGGGATCTTCCCAACCTAGGGATTGAAGCTGGGTCTCCCTCATTGCAGGCAGATTCTTTACCATTAATAGAAATAAAGTACACAATAAATAATAGAAATAAGTAATGTGCTTGAATCATCCAGAAAACCACCCGCCATCCATGGAGGACTTTTCTTCCACGAAACCAGTTCCTGGTGCTAATAAAGTTGGGGACCGCTTATGTAGTACATGTGCGGAACCCCAAATTCGGACACCACAGGAGGGAGCTGTGTCAGTAACACAAAGACACCCAGGACAGTTTTTGGTGCTGAAAGCAGTGGCGGTTATAGGAGCAGTGCGGTAGCCCCGGCCTCTGGCCTGTTCACCACCTCTGCTTACAGGTCTGTTTGTCTGAGTTTTCTGCTTTTCTGCTCTGTGTCCTTGCTTTCAATTCAGAGCAAGCGTGCCCAGTAAGTGCTCTCTCTCTCGGTAGTCCTCGTGGCTCAGGAACTGAAAGATTTCTTGCCAGGAGACCGGCTCAGAAGACACAGCTCCTCGAGGAGGCTGCAACCCCCATCGGGATTATTTGGAAAGTCTTACCAGACCTCAGTAAGGCTTCAGAAGTTCCATCTTTCCTTCAGCCAGCCTGAAGTGGCTGGAGCTGAAGGTCACTTTGCTGAAGGTCACTTCACTTTGCTAAAGCTCACCTTGGATGGTGTTTAGGGCTGCTTGCTCAGGCAGGCTTGTCATGCAGAGGAAACTGAGAGCGGCAGGGTCAGCCCCAGGGACAAAGGGCAGCCAGGACCCTGCACAGGGTCTACAGAGCAACTGGTTCCTCAGTTCTCCGTCTGAGCCTCTTCTGTTGCTCCTACGCTCTCCAGCTATGCCTTTGGGCAGAAACTCTGAATTTGGGAAATCCAGGTGTTCTCTGATTATTTCTTCTGCTGCTAGGCTCCTAGGGCCCAGCCCTTTCCTGTGGGGACTCACCTCTTCCCCTTCCTGGGGCCAACTTCCCAGGGCCCCATAACTTAAATTTTTTTTTTTTAGTTGAAGTGTAGCTGACTTACAATGCTGTGCCAATCTCCACTGTGCAGCAGAGTGACTCAGTTTTAACATGTATACTTTCTTTTTTAAATATTCTTTTCCTTTAGGGTTTATCTCAGGATATTGAATATGGTTTCCTGTGCTATACAGTAGGATTTTGTTGTTTATCCATCCTATATACAATTGACATAAATTCGAGCAAACCACGGAAGATAGTGAGGGACAGGGAAGCCTGGTGAGCTGCAGTGCATGGGGTGGCAAAGAGCTGGACACGACTGAGCAACTGAGCTGAACTGAATCCCACTCTCCCAGTCTGTCCCTCTCCCTTAGCTTTCAAGAGCAGCTGGTCTTAACTCCGCTCACCTTCTCAGAACTCAGGCTCGCTGCCAGGAAGTGAGGCTGCATGCTTGCATGCCTGTGTGCGTATGTGCATGTTGTGAAATCTGTACCACTTCTGTGACTGCTTTTCTGTTCTTTTCTGTTCCTCGCTATGTTTATCAAACATCACCGAGAGCTTTTCGTGGGCTCAGAGTGCTGCACCCTCCCAGGGAGTGTGGGCTGTAATCAGGAAGCCAAGGCAGGCCCGTGGCTCCCTGGATATCCAAGGGCTGGGGCAGCACAAAAGCTCAGCCATGTGTTCTGAGGAGGGAGCCCCTGGCAGTGAGGGGTGGGGGTCTTGGGAGGAGGGAAGGCCTGGGCTGGACCCCGTCTTAGACCTTTAGGTCCATTTGTGGCAGGTCACTGCATCCAACCTCAGCACAGTTTCCAGAAAGCTAAGGACAGGGTAGGGACGTGGACACAATCTCAAGGTGAAGCAAGAGCCAGGTTCTGAGAGCCACAAGTGTCCCCAGTTCTCTGGGGAGCAGTTAACCAGCGTTGTTCATGGCTGTCTGCTGCCAGGAGGCGGATGGCTTGAGGCCGTTCAGAGGAATTTCTTTTAGAACTTCTGAAGAGTGTGTTGGACTCAGTATTATCTAACTTGCTTTTTCTTAAACATTCTACTGCCTTTGAGAGCAGGGAGGCTGCCTTATGTAACTGGACTGACATGAAGGGGGCTCTGACCAGCTGCCCGAAGAGTGAAGTCAGGGCCCAGGTGGGACTCTTGGGTTCCCAGAGGGACACACAGCATGCCTGACACCATATAGAATGTCTTTCTTTCTCTCTCCTCACTCCCTCTGCTGTTCCAGTTTGCATCTCTAGCCTGACCCTGGCCACCTAGCCGGGTGCGACCTGTGCCCTGGAGGAAGAAGCAAGAAACAGTCTGTTAACATCTTCTTGAGGCACCAGAGGAGATGCTAGAGGATCTGATGGGGGCCGTGGAGCCTGCCAGTGGCAGGTGTTGGATCACAGACACGGTGCCCTTTGCACAGCATCTGTCCTCTCCCCGCCAAGGCAGGCGGGGCTCTCCGTGCCCCTGGATGTGGGGCATTTACGCTCACTAGCACCCCTGTCCTGCTTTGGTGCAGAGCCTGCCCTGGCCTGCGCTGTGTGTGCGGCTGATGTCTTGGGAAATCCTGGAGCCGGGGTCTGAGGCGCTCCGTCATTTTCTAGGAACAGGAATAACTGGAGGTGCTGGTTGCCTGAGTGGTCCCGCCTGTCATGGGTGAGCGGGAGTGCCCGCTGGTGGGGTGACTCAGAGGGCCCCAGGAGGCACTATGGAGTCCTTTTCTCCTTTAACGGCAGTCTGCAGACAGTGGGGAGAAACCCCTCCCGATATACTCTGGGGGTCTCCTGGGTCCCTGGGTCATGCTGGGGCTGACCCCTTTAACATGTTCTCACGTCTGTGCTGTTGCCATTGTGTGTTCCGTTGTGTCTCCCACCACCTTTTAAACAAGCGCCTCATGTCCTTCCCCCCGCCCAACCTGGAGCAGGTCCCTGGGTAAGCCTTTCTGATAGACCAGGATCCCACAGTCTCCCCCAAATAGGTCAGGTCCCTTCCTTCTCCACCACTTCCCCCACTCTCGGACATCAGGTCTCAGGCGTGGGAAGTCAGTGGACTCCCATTGGCTCTGAGTCAGGACCCTGGAACCTGATCAGATGTTCCCAGCTTTTGGCAGAGCAAGGCGGGTCCCCTACCCGCCTGGTCTTCTGTCCTTAGGGCCTGGGATTACCGCGGGCTTTGGTGGGAGGAAGGGGAGACGCGTCAGGTGCTCCCCGCCAGTCCAAGACCTGTTAGGGCAAGTGACTCAGAACTCAGTGCTGACACATGCTGCTGTGAAAAGCAGTGAAAGCTGTCCTTTCTGTTGCTGCTGTCTCACACCCTTGTGGAGGCAGAAAGTGACGGGTGCCTTTGACGTTCACAAAGGCTCTGGTTTCCTGTCTTGTCAGGTTCTGGGCAGAGAGTGCTTAGGGAGGCGGAGTGGGGCTGGGCAGGGGGTGGGGGTCAAAGCAGGCAAACCCAGAGCTCTCATGTGGGCACTCACCTCGTCAGGGAGGGGTTGCCCTGCCTGCGTCCGGGAGAGAAGATTCCATGATGGAAAGCAGCCAAAGAGGCACCGGTAAAATGATGAAGGCAATGACGCCGCTGCCACTGATGGAGCACCTGCAAGGTGCCGGCTGCTGTGTAGACGTCCCGCTGCCTCCCGTCCTCACAGGAGCCCTGTGAATCGGACACTAGCTCTCCCCACCTCACAGTGAAGAAATGCAAGTGTGGAAGCATTAAGTCAACTTTGTCCCAAAGTCTTGGCTGCTAAGTAGAAACCCTGGGGTACCGCCCACTGCCAGCTCCAAGCCCCCGTGATCCCTGTCAGCCTGTTCCAGGGCCAGATGGTCCTATCAATTCCACTGCCAGCTGCGTGACCCTCGTGGCTCTGTTTTCTCACCTGTGTGATGGAGACAGCGTGTTTACCTGCTGTGGGCATGGTCAAATGACAGGATGAGATTCAGCTGGTAATGCTGGTGCACGGTGGACCCTCTCTGCCTCCACAGAGGGTGCCCAGTCTGCTCCTGGGAGCAGCTTCCGAGGCAAACTCTCCTTTCTGTGGAAGAAGGGCAGGTGGTGCCGTTGCTCCCGGGGACCTTCCAGGTGCCCTGGGCACCTTCCTCCCTAACACTGCTGACCTTTCCTCTTCTTAGGCTGAGCTTCGGAGCACCCAGTTAGACCTGGAGCAGAAACTCAAGTTGAATGAAAATGCCATCTCCAGGCTCCAGGCTAACCATAAATCTGTCCTGGTAAGTCTGGCTGGGGTCACCTGCCGGGCTTTGGCACACCTGGCTGGCTGCTGCTGCTGGTTCAGTCAGGCCCACCCAGAACTGTGGCACTTGGCTGCAGGCCCGGCCTCCACGTCCACAGGCCCCTTAGGTCTTATCATCTGATGGAAACTGTGGGTACAGATCAGGTTGGCTACACTGTAGGGTGGCATCACCTTGTCGCTGAGATTTGCCGTGAAATTAGTTCAAGGTTGAAACCTGGCAAGTGATTCACTTTTAACAGTGGAGAGCAGGAGCTCACTAATCCTGAGATGTGTGTGCTAAGTCGCTTCAGTCGTGTCCGCCTCTGCGGCCTTGTGAAATGCAGCCCGCCAGGCTCCTCTGTCCATGGGGCTCTCCAGGCAAGAACACTGGAGTGGGTTGCCATGCCCTCCTCCAGTCCTGTGATAGCTCTGGCTCATTTGTATATTTGCATATGCTTTTTTGACCAGGAGCAAATGGTATATGTGGGAATTGAGGGGGGTGGTTAGCTAGAGCTCCAGAAATTATGCATAATCTTGGCTTCTTCCACCACGAGAGGGTGTTCTGCAGGCGATTCTCGCTTGTCCTAAATCCTGGCAGACAGAAAAGAGAGGTGAGAGCGGCTGGATTAGTGGATGGTACTGCGGGTTTGAATCCTTGGTCAGGAAGATCCCCTGGAGAAGGAAATGGCAACCCACTCCAGGATTCATACCTGGGAAAGTCCATGGACATAGCAGCCTGGCGTGCCACAGTCCATGGGGTTGCAGAGAGTCGGACATGACTTAGTGACTAAACAACAGCAACAGCAACTTGATGAGGCCAATGGTGTGTGTGCTCAGTCTGACTCTTTGCGACCCCATGGACTTTAGTCCACCAGGTTCCTCTGTCAATGGCACTTCCCAGGCAAGAATCCTGGAGTGGCTCTCCATGCCCTCCTTCAGGGGATCTTCTGGACCCAGGGACTGTACTCAAGTCTCTTGTGTCTCCTGCATTGGTAGGCGGGTTTTTTACCACTGGGCCATCTGGGAAGTCCCATAATGGTATGCCAGGCTACTTAGTTTTAGTCTCTTTGGTTTCTGACCACTTTCCATAATAAACTCTAAGTGGACCCAGACAGTTTCACAAAAGCTTCTCATTAGTGGCAAGCCAATAACCAGAATTCAGAGAAGAATGCAAAATGTGCACCCTTTGGCAGTTAGGAGCAGCAGCATCTTTGCCTATGAAGAATGATTCTACCTCTCCATCCATTCATCTGCCCATCTATCCACCCCTCCCTCAACCATCCATCCATCCACCCACCCACTCACCTGTCAGCACCAGTACCTAAGAACTACCAAAGATAAAAGGAAACTGTTGAAAACAACATGGATTGAAGTTGTTAAATATGACCTTGACTAAGGCATTTACTAAAGATATGGAAGGACAGACTCCCACATACACAGGTGCCACTGATGGCACCTACTATTTGCCTACTAATAGTAGGCAAATCCCTACTATTCATCACATGGAGTTAGTTGTATATATTTTTGAACATGGCAACCCATTCCACACAGGTAGGCTTGTCCTGCAATGCTCAGGTGCTGTGGTCGCCTTCACATGCCCTAAACTTTTTGTGCCTGGCCCAGACACCAGAGGATGTGCTTTCAGCTCAGATGGATTCAGTGGGCAGTTTTTTGTTGTTTGGTCACTAAGTTGTGTTCTACTCTTTGCAACCCCACAGATTGCAGCACACCAGTCTTCCCTGTCCTTCACGATCTACTGAAGTTTGCTCCAACTCATGTCCATTGAGTCGGTGATGCCATCCAGCTATCTCACCCTTTGTTGTCCCCTTCTATTCCTGCCCTCAATCTTTCCCAGCCTCAGGGTCTTTTCCAATGATTTGGCTCTTCACATCAGTTAGCCAAAGTATTGGAGTTTCAACTTCAGTATCAGTCCTTACAATGAATATTCAGTGTTGATTTCCTTTAGGATTGACTGGTTTGATCTCCTTGCTGGACAGTTTGATTTCCTTGGTGGGTAGTTTAGCTAGACATAATGAAGTGCTGAGAAAGCAAATTCATGCTACTGACTTGTACAAAGAAGCCAAATTATTAATTTACTTCAAGAAATATGACTATCAAGTACACTGAACAGGTCCATTGTCCAGACAGGAAGACTGATGTCACAGACTAGAAGAGGAACCTGACTGTCAGAGCTGGGCTCAGCAGACAATGCACAGTCTCATCTGATGGATGAGAGACAAAGTTAATGAAGAGTAAATAAGGACTCACACCCTGGGGAGTCCTTGTTTTATGGAACCTGGGATTCAAATGAGAATAAAGGCTTTCCTTTATAATAGGAAATTGTTCCCTAATTTGAGGGTTTCTTGGGTTTATATTGGAATTCTCAGGTGGTGCTAGTGGTTAAAAATTAACCTGCTAACGCAGGAGACTCAGAAGACACAAGTTTGGTCCCTGGGTGGGGAAGATCCCCTAGAGGAGGAAATGGCAACTCACTCCAGTATTCTTGCCTGGGAAACTCCATGGACAGAGGAACCTGGCTGACTGCCATCTGTGGGGTCACAGAGTCGAATATGACTGAGCACGCACGCATGGGTTTACATTTCTGTGTGTTGAGCTTTGGTAAGGTTGCTGCTTCACTAATCACTAATGGGTTCTTCACTGGTTCTCCCCCACCCCCTCGCCACTAGGTATCAGTGTCGGAGGTGAAGGCCGGGGTGGAGGAGCAGTTCGGGGAGCTCCGTGCTGCCATGACGAAGGCCCAGGCCGACGTGATGCTCTTCCTGGAGGAGAAGGAGCAAGCTGCCCTGGGCCAGGCCAATGGCATCAAGACCCACCTGGAGTACAGGAGTGCAGAGATGGAGAAGGCCAGGCAGGAGCTGGACAGGATTGCTGCCATTGGCAGTCCCGTGCTGTTCCTGGAGGTATGGGTCACTGTGACGCCAGAGCCAGAGAGACCCTCACTCTGCTAGGGCCACAGTTGGACGTGGCAAGGCAATCACCCTGTTGATAAATGAGGCAGAGAGCAGCAGAGAACAGGAGTAGGAGAGAGGGCTACCCAGAGCGGAGAGGCCGGACCAGGTCATGGAAGATGCCTTCTATGTGGTCAGGTGCTGAGCTGGATCCATTACATGTTGTGAAGTACATGCCTCTATCAGCCCATGTCACAGATGCAGAAGGTGATGTAATGAGTAGGGCAGCCCTGTTTAGGAAGCACAAAAGCCATGGCAAGTTCTGCTGTGTTTCTTTTCCTGCAGGAGTACTGCAAGTTCAAGAACACGGAGGACAGCGCCTTCCCCAGTGTCTACATAGGGCTCAAAGACAAGCTCTCGGGCATCCACAAGGTCATCACGGATTCCACTGCCCACCTGATCCAGCTGCTGCAGAGCTACAAGGAGAAGCTCCAGGAGTTCTCCAAGGACGGTTAGACGCCAGGGCTTGTGACATCTCTAGAGGGGTTGGCGGGGGAGGTGGGAGTCAGGGAGAGAGAACAGAACAGGGGTGGAGAGAATGTCCCATTTTCAGAGCCGTCCTCTGGTTGGACCGTGCGGCTGGTGGACACGTACCTTGATAATGTTAACTTACAACTGAGAGCAAAGAACATGGTCTCGGTATGCCCTTGGCCCACATCTCCACTCAAGTGCAGACTAACTTCCGAGGTCACTGATGCCTATGCTTTCAAGTGAAACACAGGTCAGGCTGGGATCTTTCCTCAGCAGGTTTTACTTCGATGTGGTCAGTTGAGCAGGATTCTTTGAAGCGTGATTAGTGTCTGGTCCCTACTTTCCCCAGGAGGCCCAGGGAAGAGCAACTAAAGTGGGGGATTCCTGTTCCTTAGGTTCTCTTGCCCACCTGGACAGGTGAGCATTCACAACTCTTGATTTTCTAGAGGAGTACGACATCAGAACTCAGGTGTGTGCTGTCATTGAGCACAGACATCGGACCTCAAAACCCGAGCCCTGCACCAGGCCGCAGTTCCTCCAGTGTAAGTCGTGAGCTGCCCTGGTTTCCCTGGGTGTGGATGTGCATGTGATGCTTTGGAAGCAAGGACACCATCTTTCAGCAGGTTTCAGGTTCTTGCAACCTCAGGTCTATCCCCAAATGGTACATTTAAATTTTAAATAAGTTGAATTTCAAAAAAAATTAGAACTTTTAATTTTGAAACCGTTTCAGAGTTAAAACATTGCACAAAAGAGGACCAAGAATTCTGATATACTTTTCACCTAGCTTTTCCAAACGTGAGCACTTTACATAACTATGGTCCATTGATCCAAATCAGGAAGTGAGCATTGCTGGCTGGAATTTATTCAGATTTCACCAGGGTTGCTCCCAGTCAACTGGTCAGAAGTCCAGTCCAGAGTCACAGATGTTTTCTGACTCTTTAGCTTCCTCCAGTCTGTGTCCAGTCCTTTAGTCCTTCTGTGTCCTTCACAACCTTGGCCCCTTTGAAGATCCTGGCTGGTTACCAGGTGGCTCCCTTTTAAGTCTGACTTGACTGGAATTACTTAGCCCATTGTCCTGTCCTGACATGGAAGTGTCCTGGTCTGTTGGCATTTTTAGAAACACTTATTTTTAATCAATACTTGCTCATGGTTAACAAGACAGGGAGGTTTCATCTCCCAGAAGAAGGATGTGTCTGAGTAATCAAGGCTCATTTTTCTGACTTTAATCTCTTTGGAAGTCACTGTTCAACCCTGCTTCTGCTTCCTTTCTGGGGGTGAGCTCTGGCTGGCCGACTCCTGAACCCTGTTTGCTCTGGTCTTGACGTGGAGCCTCGGGTTTGATGACCCTGTTCTTGCCACAGCTCCTCGTCTCCCCCAAGACCTCTTGGTTTCCAGTTTCCTTTATTTATTCTTTCGCGCTTCCTGACAGCAGCATATGTATGTTTTACAAACAGACAATACAGTTAATATAGGGGCTTCCCAGCTGCGCAATGGAAAAGAATCCTGCCATTCCAGGAGACATCAGTTCAGTTCAGTCACTCAGTAGTATCCAACTCTTTGCGACCCCATGAATCGCAGCATGCCAGGCCTCCCTGTCCATCACCAACTCCTGGAGTTTACTCAAACTCATGTCCATCAAGTTGGTGATGCCATCCAGCCATCTCATCTTCTGTTGTCCCCTTCTCCTCCTGCCCCCAATCCCTCCCAGCATCAGGGTCTTTTCCAATGAGTCAGTTCTTCACATCAGGTGGTCAAAGTAATGGAGTTTTAGCTTCAACATCAGTCCTTCCAATGAACACCCAGGACTGATCTCCCTTAGGATGGACTGGTTGGATCTCCTTGTAGTCCAAGGGACTCTCAAGAGTCTTCTCCAATACCACAGTTCAAAAACATCAATTCTTCAGTGCTTAGCTTTCTTCACAGTCCAACTCTCACATCCATACATGACCACTGGAAAAACCATAGCCTTGACTAGACGGACCTTTGTTGACAAAGTAATGTCTCTGCTCTTTAATATGCTATCTAGGTTGGTCATAACTTTCCTTCCAAGGAGTAAGCGTCTTTTAATTTCATGGCTGCAATCACCATCTGCAGTGATTTTGGAGCCCCCCAAAATAAAGTGTAACACTGTTTCCACTGTTTCCCCATCTATTTGCAATGAAGTGATGGGACCCGATGCCATGATTTTAGTTTTCTGAATGTTGAGCTTTAAGACAACTTTTTCACTCTCCTCTTTCACTTTCATCAAGAGGCTCTTTGGTTCGTCTTCACTTTCTGCCATAAGGGTGGTGTCATCTGCATATCTGAGGTTATTGATATTTCTCCTGGCAATGTTGATTCCAGCCTGTGCTTCTTCCAGTCCAGTGTTTCTCATGATGTACTCTGCATATAAGTTAAACAAGCAGGGTGACAATATACAGCCTTGGCATACTCCTTTTCCTGTTTGGAACCAGTCTGTTATTCCATGTCCAGTTCTAACTGTTTCTTCCTGACCTGCATACAGGTTTCTCAAGAGGCAGGTCGGGTGGTCTGGTATTCCCATCTCTTTCAGAATTTCCCACAGTTTATTGTGATCCACACAGTCAAAGGCTTTGGCATAGTCAATAAAGCAGAAATAAATGTTTTTCTGGAACTCTCTTGCTTTTTCGATGAGCCAGCAGATGTTGGCAATTTGATCTCTGGTTCCTCTGCCTTTTCTAAAACCAGCTTGAACATCTGGAAGTTCATGGTTCTCATATTGGTGAAGCCTGGCTTGGAGAATTTTGGGCATTACTTTACTAGCATGTGAGATGAGTACAATTGTGCAGTAGTTTGAGCATTCTTTGGCATTGCCTTTCTTTGGGATTGGAATGAAAACTGACCTTTTCCAGTCCTGTGGCCACTGCTGAGTTTTCCAAATTTGTTGGCATATTGAGTGCAGCACTTTCACAGCATCGTCTTTCAGGATTTGAAATAGCTCAACTGGAATTCCATCATCTCCACTAGCTTTGCTCGTAGTGATGCTTTCTAAGGCCCACTTGACTTCACATTCCAGGATGTCTGGCTCTAGGTGAGTGATCACACCATCGTGATTATCTGGGTCATGAAGATCTTCTTTGTACAGTTCTTCTGTATATTCTCGCCACCTCTTCTTAATATCTTCTGCTTCTGTTAGGTCCATGCCATTTCTGTCCTTTATCGAACCCATCTTTGCATGAAATGTTCCCTTGGCATCTCTAATTTTCTTGAAGAGATCTCTAGTCTTTCCCATTCTGTTGTTTTCCTTTATTTCTTTGCATTGATCCCTGAGGAAGGCTTTCTTATCTCTTCTTGCTATTCTTTGGAACTCTGCATTCAAATGGGAATATCTTTCCTTTTTGCAGGAGACATAAGAGATGCAAATTTAATCCTTGAGTCAGGAAGATCCCCTGGAGAAGGGGATGGCAACCCACTCCAGTATTCTTGCCTGGAGAATGCCATGGACAGAGGAGTCTGGTGGGCTACAGTCCGTGGGGGTTGCAAAGAGTAGGATATGACTGAAGTGACTTAGCATGCGCACACATAGTTGATACAAGAAGCCAGCTGATGTGGAGCTGCTACACATGTTGGGGGAGATTCATGGGTGGCTTAGATGGGTGTGAATGGGGTCTCTAGGTGGGACTTGGGGCTTCCAGTGTGAGTTGAGGGGCAAAATGAGGGAGGATGGGGCCTAGAGAAATGTCAAAATAACCTGGAGTGTGACTTGAGCATTTGGGTGTGTGGAGGTGTCCTCTGGGGTCAGGAAGAGAATATCTGTGTACATGCGGGGGGACTGCTTGAGAATTCCCCTGCTAAATAGTGGCCAAATATTTTAACAAATGAGTGAATCAGATGTGAGTATATGACCCTTGCCAACACTGCATAGAAAAGCACCTGAATTTCAGGACGTGTTTGTCGAATGAATGAAAACATGAGCCCATCAGTAAATTTTATTTCTTGATTCAGTTCAACAAATACTACAGTAAATGGCAAGCAGTTTGTGCTTCAAGAAGGAAGGAAGGAAGTGGGGGTGACTTGTTAAAAGGTGTCTGGGACTACTTACCACTTGTGTGGGAAAGAGGCCCCCTCCCCCCGCCCCCACCTAGCAATTCCCCCAGACATGGCTGGGCGTCCCAGGATTTAACTCTGTCCTGATGCTGTCTGCCTGGAGATGCTATCAGAGCCCACCACTTCAGATGGTGGCCTTCACTTCAGATGCCAGTCACAATTATGGGACCCTCAGAGGACCCACAACTTCTGTCTGACTTGGCTACAATCCAAGGCTCCCAGGACCCTCCTTGGATTCGAGCATTTGCTAGAACAGCTCACAGAATTCAGGAAGACGCTTACGTTCACCAGTTCATGAAAGGATGTGACGAAGGACACAGATGAGCAGCCAGAGGAAGGGAGAGATGCTCAGAGTGAGGGCTGGGAGGGTCCCCATGGAGGTGGGGTCAATTACCTGATGTGGATGTTTGTCAGCCTGGAAGTGCTCAGAACCCCATACTACTGGGATTTTATGGGGCTTTTATCCCACAGGCGTGATGAACCACTTCCAGCCCATCTCTCTTCCCAAGAGAAGAGGAGTTAGGGCTGCGAGATCCAAGCAGAACTTGGTCATGACTTGGTCTTTTTGGTGACCAGCCAGCCCCACCCCACCATCCCCCCACACAGAGTCACCTCGTTAGAACAAAAGACACTCGGACGTCCCTGATGACCCAGTGGCTAAGACTCCGAGCTCCTAAGGCACCGGGCCCTGGTTCAATCCCTGGTCAGGGAACTAGATCCCACATGCCAAAACTGAGATCTGGTGTAGCCAAATAAATAAATAAATGAACACAAAACGAGACCCCCCCAAACTCTACCTCTTAAGAAAAAAAAAAGACACTTGTTTAACCCAGGAAATTACAAGGGTTTCAGGAGCTCTGTGTCAGAAACTGGTCTCAGCATGGGATTTTCCAGGCAAGAATACTGAAGTGGGTTGCCATTTCCTCTTCCAAGGGGATCTTCCCGACCCAGAGATTGAACCTGTGTCTCCTGTGTCTCCTGCATTGCAGGCGGATTCTTTCTAGGCAAGAATACTGGAGTAGGTTGCCATTTCCTACTCCAGGGGATCTTCCTGACCCAGGGATCAAAACGGAGTCTCTTGTGTCTCCTGCATTGGCAGGCAGGTTCTTTACCTCTGAACTGATTGGGAAGCCTGTCAAAGAGCAAACATTAGAACAAAAGATGTTGCTAGTGCTGTTACCACTCAGGAAATTACAGGGAGCTCTGTGCCGGGAGCCAGGGGCAAAGACCAAGTCTAAAATTACTACAAGTCACAGAGTCCCGCTTGTGTTCTGTTTCCTGGTTTTCACCCACCTCTTCTCTGGGAGGGGACGGGACCTGGGTAGACAGGGAACAGAGGGATGGATGTCTTCTCATCCCTTGGAGGCTGGCTAGGTGTGAGTCAGCGGTCAGCCCCTGACCTTCTATGTCCCCCTCAGATGCCTGTGATGTTGTCTTCGACCCCGACACGGCACACAGGTACCTCCGGCTGCAAGATGACAACCGCAAGGTCACCAACACGGCGCCCTGGGAGCACCCGTACCCTGACCTGCCCAGCAGGTTCTCACACTGGCGGCAGGTGCTGGCCCAGCAGAGCCTGTACCTGCACAGGTACTACTTCGAGGTGGAGCTCTCAGGAGCGGGCGTCTATGTGGGCCTGACCTGCCAGGGCATCAACCGCAAGGGCGAGGAGCGCAACAGCTGCATCTCCGGGAACGACTTCTCCTGGAGCCTCCACTGGGATGGGAAGGGGTTCAGGGCATGGCACAGCGATGCGGAGACCCTGCTCAGCGCCAACGCTTGCCGGAGGCTGGGGGTCTATGTGGACTTCCCCGGCGGGGGCCTCTCCTTCTATGGCGTCGAGCCTGAGACCCTGACGCTGCTGCACAGGTTCCAGTGTAAGTTTTCGGAGCCCGTCTACCCAGCCTTCTGGCTTTCCAAGAAGGACAGTGCCATTCGGATTGCAGATCTGGGAGAGGAACCTGAGAAGCCAGGGCCGGCCCTGGTGGAGTCTGCTGCCTAGTTGCTGATCCAGGTCTCAGACCTGTGCTGACATACAGACAGGTGGCAGTTTTCATTGGAAGACTGACTGGGGGTCCCTGCCAGCACCTGCTGGTTTTAGAAATTGTGTGAGGATGAGGGGAAGGGTCTCTGGTTGCCGCCTGGGCGCCTCACTGCACTGGTCCCCGTGTTTGCAGTAATCCTCAAACCCTAGGTCCCCCTCACCATCTTCTTATGATCTTGTCCTGTCTGCTTGGGTGGACCGCACTCTGTGCCCAGAGTTGGTCACCAGGCAACCTTAGAGCGATCAGAAAGACTGCAGAGGCGTCATAACCAATCGCTAACCTTGTCTTACTCCTGCGTCCCCTGTTCTGAGCGCCTCCTGGGCCTCAGCCCTCGTGACCCTCTCGGCAGCCCCATGGGGAGGTGCTCAACCACCCCCACTTGGCAGATGGACAGGCTGCGGTCCAGGGGGTTAATAAACTCACTCAGGGTCACTGTGGTCACGTGGAGAGGGAGTGGCCAAGCTGGGATTCAAACCTGACATCGAACTTCTAACCACCACCCCGCACTGCCCTCCTCCTTAGATCACAGGTGTTGTGTGTAAGGGAATAAACTACAAGGTGAACTGCATTTGTGAGCATGGAGAGTCTGACAGCCTCAGTGGCTTTTCGTGCCCACGTCTGATGGGCCTTGCAGCTGTGCTGTGACGGAGAGCTCACTACCTCACAGGCAGCTCTCCTGGCTTGGGCACAGCGAGAACTGCAGGACTGTCTTCATAGGGTCCACATCCTAGTCCCTGTGACCTCGGCAGATGGCCCTAGCACCTCTCTTCTGGAGCCACCTGGATGGTGGGGATGTGTCTAATTCCTTATCCAACGGTTAGTTGTCTACACACTTAGGGGTAGCTCTCATGGGTCCCCCAGGAATATGCATGTTTTCACATCCTATTTGCCAGTTTCCTTGTGGTTTCCAGATCTTTTACCCCTCTGATCACTTTTTCTTTCTTTCGACAGATTGTTCCCTAAAATTAAAGGTTCCTTAGTCCTTATTCTTGCTCAATAGTGTCCGACTCTGTGACCCCATGGACTGTAGCCTGCCAGGCTCCTCTGTCCATGGGATTTCCCAGGCAAGAATACCAGAGTGGGTTGCCATTTTCTCCTCCAGGGGATCTTCCCGACTTGGGGATGCAATCCGTGTCTCATGTGTCTCCTGCATTGGCAGACGATTCTTTACCGACATCAAACCTTTAGGCAAATGACAAACTGTATCTCAATGGGTTTCTGAAGACATAACCTGAAGTCCCTTCTGGGACTCACTGGAAATATAACTTCTGGGTCTTTTCCATGACCTGTGTCAAGGCAAGCCTCTTCCTCTTTGCCCTGTCTGGTCATCCTGTCTCAAGAGCACATTTTTTCAGCATCACTTGACTTGTTTCCAGAGACCCTGTCAGACATTTGAATCATAGGATTTACACAGTGTAGGATTTTAATTTTCAAACTGAATTTAAAGTTTTTGAATTTTAAAAAATTTGAATTGTAAAACTCATCACATCACTGCTGCTTTTGGAGATAGATTTGTTTCATGATCCTACCAGGTTATAACAGTTCTCCTTCCTATCCTGCAGAAATTGGTGACCTTTTCTTAAATCTTACTCTTGTTGATACATAAATTTGTTAGAGTCTTGCAGTCGTCAGTCAATACCTTTTGGTTTTAGTTATTCAATTAGTCATGCATCAGTGTGGGACTTCCCTGGTAGTCTAGTGGTTAAGACTTCGCCTACCAATGCAGCAGGTGCGAGTTCAGTCTCTGGTTGGAGAGCTAAGATCCCACATGCCTCGTGGCCAAAAAACCAAGACATAAAACAGAAGCAATATTGTAACATTCAATAAAAACTTTAAAAATGGTCCACGTCAAAAGAAATCTTTTAAAAAAGTTACGCATGCGTAGAACTCTTCGATAACGTAGTCCACCTCTGCACCTTTATGCACTGGATACCATGAAGGACTTTCTCAACAGCAAAGGTCAAGATACGCTATGTCAGCACTCCCTTCTAACAGTGCTCTGAAAGGAGAAAATGAGATCAGCTTGGCCACTGTTTTTTTTTAAACCCCGTAGGTTGTTGATGCTTCTTCCCTAAATGCTCACAAACTATTTGATAAAGCATTTTAGAATTCAGGTACAAATTCACATCTAGTCTGCTGTCTCTAGAATCCACCTTATTTTTCTTTTAAAAAGCTAGACAATTTTGCCTGTCTCCATTCTCAAGCATTCTCCCTAGTTTCTCAAAATTTACTGCCTGGGTTTTAGTCACGTTGGTAAATTGTGTCAGCGTCATGAGATGTCATTTGTTTAGGTCACACTCAGACTCATAAAAGGAACCCTCTGGGTGTCTCCTCACCTGTCTTCAATACCAGCTTTCTTTTTGTTCACTCGTTAAGGGCTTCCCTAGTGGTTCAGGGGTGAAGAATCTGCCTGCAATGCAGGAGACACAGGAGACACAGGTTCGATCCTGGGGTTATGAAGATCCCCTGGAGGAGGAAATAACAACCCACTCCAGTGTTCTTGCCTGGAAAATCTCATGGGCAGAGAAGCCTGGTGGGCTATAGTCCATGGGGTTGCAAAGAGTCGGACACGACTGAGCGACTATCACTTTCTTTTTCTTTCTTTTGGCTTGAAGACCTTTTTTCTTGATGTAGAAAAGTAGAAGTTGCTCAGTTGTGTGCAATTCTTTGCGACCCCATGGACTATACAATGGAATTCTCTAGGCCAGAATACTGGAGTGGGTAACCTTTTCCTTCTCCAGGGGATCTTCCCAACCCAGGGTTCAAATCAGGTCTCCCACATTGCAGATGGATTCTTTACCAGCTGAGCCACAAGGGAATCCCAAGAATATTAGAGTGGGTAGCCTATCCCTTCTCCAGGGGATCTTCCCAACCCAAGAATTGAACTGGGGTCTCCTGCATTGCAGGCAGATTCTTTACCAACTGAGCTATCACGGAAGCCCTTTCTTAAATGTTAGTAACACTCAGTTTTGCTGTGATCAAAATTGATTGATCATCACAGCAAAACTGGGTGTTAGGAACATTTAGTTTCTTTCTATCATTGCCTCAAGTGACAGTCACATCTTCTTTTCCTTGGTCCAAAACTGAAAATTACCTAAAACAAACAGATAAAAAATAGAAAGATAACAAAGGCCAGTGTTATGTTCTCTGTCATTTTCTCCAAGCTCGTCAGCATGTGCCATTCTTCTGTATGTCATGCCTCCACTGTCTCTGGCAGCTCCTTAAGCACAGATGGAATGTAGGCCTCACACTAGGACACCCCACCAGGCAGTGGTAGGCACGCATCTTCTACGATGAGATTGGGGCCCGGAGGGGCTGTAGGGCTTGCCCACGGCCACAGCTCCAGTAAGAAAACTGGTGGATTCCAGCCCGTCTCTAACTCCCAAGGTTGAGCCCTCAAGCATGAAGTCAAGGCCAAATTGGACTGTAAAAGTGCTTCTTTGGTGTATGTCAGCCCCACAGATTAAAACCCTAATTTATTTAGGTCTTTAGGAACAAGCTGCTTCCAGTCTGTAACATTTCTGGGGGCATAACATGCCCCCTATACAGGTGCTTTGGGCCTCTCTGCTCTGTCTGGCCTTCCTGGCAGACCAGAAGCTAATCCACTCTTACCTCTTTTCCAGGCTTGAGCTGTTAGCACTGATCTCCTTCCGGGCCTGATTCCTGTCTTCACCCTAATCTTTTACAAGACCATCCTGGCCATGACTTCCACCGCCTTTCTCTGGCAGTAGCTAGTCTCCAAATGTGGGTGCTAGAACTGCTCATGCCATTGCCTGCCTTTTGATGGTGTTACAGTTGCTAGGTCATGTCTGACTCTTTGTGATGCCATGGACTGGAGCCTGCCAGGCTCCTCTGTCAATGGGGTTCTCCAGGCAAGAATACTGGAGTGGGTTGCCATTCCCTTCTCCAGAGTTTCCTTCATTGGCAGGGGGGTCCTTTACTGTCTGAGCCAGTGGGGAAGCCCTGCTTTGCATGTAATACCTCATTTAATCCTTATACTGACATTGAAATGACACTGACACAGAATGATCTCTGTTGGTTTCCAAGGCAAACCGTTCAATATTACGGTAATCCAAGTCTATGCCCCGACCAGTAATGCCGAAGAAGCTGAAGTTGAATGGTTCTATGAAGACCTACAAGACCTTCTAGAACTAACACCCCCAAAAAATATCCTTTTCATTATAGAGAACTGGAATGCAAAAGTAGGAAGGCAAGAGATAACTGGAGTAACAGGCAAATTTTATCCTTGGAATACAGAATGAAGCAGGGCAAAGGCTAATAGAGTTCTGCCAAGAGAACGCATTGGTCATAGCAAACACCCTCTTCCAACAACACAAGAGAAGACTCTACACATGGACATCACCAGATAGTCAATACCAGAATCAGATTGATTATATTCTTTGCAGCCAAAGGTGGAGAAGCTCTATACAGTCAGCAAAAACAAGACCGGGAGCTGACTGTAGCTCAGATCATGAACTCCTTATTGCCAAATTCAGACTTAAATTGATGAAAGTGGGGAAAACCACTAGACCATTCAGGTATGACCTAAATCAAATCCCTTATGACTATACGCTAGAAGTGAGAAATAGTTTTAAGGGACTAGATCTGATAGACAGAATGTCTGATGAACTATGGATGGAGGTTCGTGACATTGTACAGGAGACAGGAATCAAGACCATCCCCCAAGAAAAAGAAATGCAAAAAAGCAAAATGGCTGTCTGAGGAGGCCTTACAAATAGCTGTGAAAAGAAGAGACGTGAAAAGAAAAAAGGAAAGATATTCCCATTTGAATGCAGAGTTCCAAAGAATAGCAAGGAGAGATAAGAAAGCCTTCCTCAGGGATCAATGCAAAGAAATAAAGGAAAACAACAGAATGGGAAAGACTAGAGATCTCTTCAAGAAAATTAGAGATGCCAAGGGAACATTTCATGCAAAGATGGGTTCGATAAAGGACAGAAATGGCATGGACCTAACAGAAGCAGAAGATATTAAGAAGAGGTGGCGAGAATATACAGAAGAACTGTACAAAGAAGATCTTCATGACCCAGATAATCACGATGGTGTGATCACTCACCTAGAGCCAGACATCCTGGAATGTGAAGTCAAGTGGGTCTTAGAAAGCATCACTATGAACAAAGCTAGTGGAGATGATGGAATTCCAGTTGAGCTATTTCAAATCCTGAAAGATGATGCTGTGAAAGTGCTGCACTCAATATGCCAACAAATTTGGAAAACTCAGCAGTGGCCACAGGACTGGAAAAGGTCAGTTTTCATTCCAATCCCAAAGAAAGGCAATGCCAAAGAATGCTCAAACTACTGCACAATTGCACTCATCTCACATGCTAGTAAAGTAATGCCCAAAATTCTCCAAGCCAGGCTTCAGCAATATGTGAACCATGAACTTCCAGATGTTCAAGCTGGTTTTAGAAAAGGCAGAGGAACCAGAGATCAAATTGCCAACATCTGCTGGCTCATCGAAAAAGCAAGAGAGTTTCAGAAAAACATTTATTCCTGCTTTATTGACTATGCCAAAGCCTTTGACTGTGGATCACATTAAACTGTGGGAAATTCTGAAAGAGATGGGAATACCAGACCACCTGACCTGCCTCTTGAGAAACCTGTATGCAGGTCAGGAAGGAACAGTTAGAACTGGACATGGAATAACAGACTGGTTCCAAGCAGGAAAAGGAGTATGCCAAGGCTGTATATTGTCACCCTGCTTGTTTAACTTATATGCAGAGTACATCATGAGAAATGCTGGACTGGAAGAAGCACAGGCTGGAATCAACATTGCCAGGAGAAATATCAATAACCTCAGATATGCAGATGACACCACCCTTATGGCAGAAAGTGAAGAAGAACCAAAGAGCCTCTTGATGAAAGTGAAAGAGGAGCATGAAAAAGTTGTCTTAAAGCTCAACATTCAGAAAACTAAAATCATGGCATTGAATCCCATCACTTCATTGCAAATAGATGGGGAAACAGTGGAAACAGTGTTACACTTTATTTTCTGGGGCTCCAAAATCACTGCAGATGGTGATTGCAGCCATGAAATTAAAAGACGCTTACTCCTTGGAAGGAAAGTTATGACTAATCTAGATAGCATATTAACAAGCAGAGACATTACATTGCCAACAAAGGTCCGTCTGGTCAAGGCTATGGTTTTTCCAGTGGTCATGTATGGATGTGAGAGTTGGACTGTGAAGAAAGCTGAGCACCAAAGAATTGATGCTTTTGAACTGTGGTGTTGGAGAAGACTCTTGAGAGTCCCTTGGACTACAAGGAGATCCAACCAGTCCATCCTAAGGGAGATCAGTCCTGGGTGTTCATTGGAAGGACTGATGTTGAAGCTAAAACTCCATTACTTTGACCACCTGATGTGAAGAACTGACTCATTGGAAAAGACCCTGATGCTGGGAAAGATTGAGGGCAGGAGGAGAAGAGGATAACAGAAGATGAGATGGTTGAATGGCCTCACCGACTCAATGGACATGGGTTTGGGTAGATCCCGGGCGTTTGTGATGGACAGGGAGGCCTGGCATGCTGTGGTTCATGGGGCTGCAGGGAGTCGGACACAACTGAGTGACTGACTGAATTGAACAGTTGTCTCCCTTTTACAGATGAGGCATAAAGGGTTAAGTAATGCACCTGTGTTCACAGACCTCGTGAATAGCTGGGCTGGGGTCTAAACCCAGGAGTCTGACCCCAGACTCCCCAGTCTTCTCTGCTCAGCTGTGATGTCTCTAGACTCCAGGGGTTGGCATGTGATTGAGGCTTGAAGAGACCCCAAATATATGCTCAGGCCCAATGACATTTTTTTCACTACGGAGTTTTACATGCGGAGATTTCCAGTTAGGATTCTTTATTTTTTTAAAAATTATTATTTATTTATTGTATTATTTGTATTTACTTGGCTGTGGTTGGGTCTTGGTTGCAGGCCTTAGGATCTTCCTTGTGTTATCAGGGATTTGTCGTTCCAGTGCACGGACTCTGTAGTTGTGGCACATGGGCTTAGTTGTTCCTGGACATGTGGGATTGTAGTTCCCGGACCAGGGATTGAACCCACACCCTCTGTATTGGAGGGGCAGCATCTTAACCACTAGACAGCCAGGGAAGTCCCCTGGTTAGCATTCTGAAACACTTAAGTAACTTGAAAAGTGAAATGAAACTGAAGCAAAAGTGTTAGTCACTTGGTCATGTCCGACTGGTGCCTACCAGGCAAACATATATTAAGCATTTGTGATTTCACTTTGATGTTAAGAAGATAGCTATAAACATATACAAAATCATTCTAACTAAACAACCATCCACAGAAGCCTCCATCTAATTTCATATTCATAAATATTTAATATTCATTCACAACAACAACGGAAGCCTCAACACCAGGCTCCACCATATATTTTCCTCTTTAAAACGGGTCCATCCACTATCTAGATTTGACCACCTCTCTTCCTGTTGTTCTAGAAATGAGATGACCAGCTCTTTCAGAATATACAGCAACTGCCTCCCTCTGAGCAGTGCCAGGCTTAGGAGATTTACGGTAAAGGCATGTTTCCTAGGAGGTCAGTACTGAAAGCCAGACTCAACTGGCAGTTTCTGGGAGAGAGAAGCTCTCCACCCCATTGCAGCAGTGTATCTTTTCTTTGGGAGATGTTTGTATTGGAAAAGGCTCAACTGGGATACTCATCAGCATCTCCTGTCCGTCTGGGGTTTGGCGGCGGGCAAGGATAAAATGAGCTGGTCCTCTCAGGGCCATGGAAAACCTGGAGTCCAGGCTCAAGAATGCCCCGTACTTTCGCTGTGAGAAGGGGAATGATTCTGTCCCTGTGTGCCAGAAGTGTGAGACGTGCGTCCTGGCCTGGAAGATCTTCTCCACGCGAGAGTGGTTCTGGAGGGTGGGTGCTGGGTTCCAGAGGAGGTTCCTGGTGAGTGTCCTGCAGCAACTGGACAGCCTGCACTTGTTACACTACTTCCTAACCCTCCTGCAGACCATGCAGGGCAAGGATCTGGTCTATCACAGGGCCCGGGTCGACCTGAGCAGGAAGGAGGGCAAGATGATCCGGTCCTCCTGGAATCAAACGCTGGATGAGATGGTGGAGCAGAAGATGCGGGAGGCTCTGCACTGGCTCCAGGACAGCAGCCAGCGGACGAAGGCCAAGTACACGCTCCTGCTGCTGCAGATGTGTGACCCCGGCTTGCTGCTCACCGCCACTGACGTCATCAGAGTCCTGTTTCTGAGAGAGTGGGGTGACGCCTCAGGTAAGCGAGGCCACAGGTAGAGAGACCTGGGGTCCCTGGAGACCAGGAGCCTGTGAAGGGATGGGAGGTGTGGATGAGCTCAGGTTGACGGGGCATTTCCAGATGGCAGGTGGTGGTGAGCTAGTTGCTCAGTCATGTTATGTCTGACTCTTGGCAACCTCATGGACTGTAGCCTGCCAGGATCCTCTGTCTATGGGACTCTCCAGGCAAGGATTCTGAAGTGGGTTGCCATTTCCTTCTCCACGGGAACTTCCCAGGATTGAACTCAGCTCTCACCTGCATTGCAGGCAGATTCTTTACCGACTGAGCCACCATCCTGGTGCCTGGTCCTGTTGACTGAAGGAGAAGCTGCTGAAATGTGACTTCCTTCTAGAAAATGATGAAATGACACATGCAGAAGGAACTTTCAGCTGTCAAGCATGGCACAGGGACTTCTTCATCCCTGAAGGCCAGAAATGGCTGGTCCTGCTGTCTCTACTCATTAGTGCTGGGCTGATTCCCACCTTAATGCATTCAGGATTGAAGTGGGTTTGGGAGGCGTTAAGGTTACTGCTGACTTGTTTTGCCCTTCATTTTGCACTGCACGGAAACCAGGCCAAGAGGTCCAAACCTAGGACTTTTCTCCATTCAGTCAAAGTCAAAGTGTTAGTCACTCAGTCGTGTCCTACTCTTTGCGACCCCATGGACTATAGCCCACCAGGCTCCTCTGTCCACGGGATGTTCCAGGCAAGAATACTGAAGTGGGTTGTCATTCCCTTATCCAGGGGATCTTCTTGACTGAGGGATCGAACCTGGGTCTCCTGCATTGCAGGCAGATTCTTTACCGCCTGAGTCACCAGGGAAGCCCTATCTCCATTCATTCCACCGTATTCCTTGCTTGGACATGAAATCTAACCTGGATGTGGAGTTTATCCAAAGCTGGGTCAGATGTTGTTTAGTCTCTAAGTTGTATCTGACTCTTTGCGACCCCGTGGACTGCAGCATGCCAGGCTCCTCTGTCCTCCATTGTCTCCCAGAGTTGGCTCAAATTCATGTCCCTTGAGTCGATGGTGCTATCTAACCATCTCATCCTCTGCCACTCGCCCCCGCCCTTGCCTTCAGTTTTTCCCAGCATCAGGGTCTTTTCTAGTGGGTCTGATCTTCACATCAGGTGGCCAAAATATTGGAGCTTCAGCTTCAAGGAGCATCAGTCCTTCCAATGAATATTCAGGGTTGACTTCCTCTAGGATTGACTGGTTTGATCTCCTTGCTGTCCAAGGAACTTCTCAAGAGTCTTCTGGAGGCATGAAAGGACTGAATAAGGCTGGGATAGGAGTTCTCCATTATTGTTGTATCAGAATCACTGGGAAGGCTTATTAACACCCAGGTGGCTGTGGTCCTCCCCAGAGCTCCTGACCCAGCAGGTGTGATGTGGGTTATGAGTCTGCATTGCTAACATGTTGCTAGGAGATGCTGATATTGGTCTGTACGCCTCATTTTGGGAGCCAGTTGTCCAGTCTGTTGGTGAGAAGGTCTTGGCCAGCTGGACTAGGGCAGCAAAAGCAGCCAGAAAGGAGGCAAGGGACTGGGGTTGCAGGGGGGTGTCTGGAAAGGGAAGCAGAGGTTTAGCGGCATGGGAGAAGCTTGGAAGGAAGCATCAGATGGAGAGATTCAGAGGTCGAGCTCTTGAGAGTGGGGGATTCCTGCTGTCCACGAGACTTGGAGTGTGGTCCTGTTTGCAGACTCATAGAATTTCAAGAAACATTACAGCTCCCTAGGGCACTATTAGGGGCTTCCCAGGTGGCTCAGTGGGTAAAAATTCCTGGGTTGGGAATTTAACAACCTATTCCAGTATTCTTGCCTGGAGAATCCCATGAACAGATGCGGGTTATAGTCCCTGGGGTCACAAAGAGTCGGATGCGGCTGAAGAGGCTGAGCACGAACGCAGAGGGCTATTAAAAACCTGATAAAGGCACTTGCTTTCTTTGGTGTGTCCAGGAAGTAAAAGAATAATCAGATGGAATGAAGAAGTGGTGGAGAAAGTCACAGAATCCCGTCAGTTAGGTTAGAGATTGACCAGTCCAGTGCCTTTATTTTGTAGGTAATGATGTTGAAGTTCAGCGAATCTGAGTGACTTGGTTGTGGTCATCCAGTCGGGGGGTGAAAACCAGGCCTCCCATCCTATGCATCTCCCATGGGCAAGGCTGCCCTCCAGACAGGGAAGCAGGCTCTGTCCACACATGTGCCCTGTTCTGAGGCCCTCCCCCATGGTAGGAATCAGCTCCCTATATTTACAGGTCTCCCTTTGCTAGGGGAGCTTCTCTCTTAAAAATGAAATTTTCTAATTTGACTCAAGGACATTTATTCATATCACTGAAGAAAATTAAGTCAGTGCTTCAAAAAAGCAATCCCTCTTTCACCTCCTGCCTCTTTCTCTCTCTCTTTCCCTCCTTCCCTCTCTCGCAGTCTCTATCCTCACGTATATAGAGAACTGATGAGGTTTGCAGTGCAGACAGGGTGGCAAAGGCTAACAGAGGTTTTCTGTGACTTTTGTGTAGAAACTCATTTCAGTTCAGTCACTCAGTCGTGTCCAACTCTTTGTGACCCCATGAATCGCAGCACGCCAGACCTCCCTGTCCATCACCAACTCCCAGAGTTTACTCAAACTCAAGTTCATTGAGTCAGTGATGCTATCCAGCCATCTCATCCTCTGTCATCCCTTTCTCCTCCTGCCCCCAATCTCTCCTAGCATCAGGGTCTTTTCCAATGAGTCAACTCTTCCCATGAGGTGGTCAAAGTATTGGAGTTTCAGCTTCAACATCAGTCCTTCCAATGAACACCCAGGACTGATCTCCTTTAGGATGGACTGGTCGGATCTCCTTGCAGTACAAGGGACTCTCAAGAGGCTTCTCCAATACCACAGTTCAAAAGCATCAATTCTTTGGTGCTCAGCTTTCTTCACAGTTCAACTCTCACATCCATACATGACCACTGGAAAAACCATAGCCTTGGCCAGATGGACCTTTGTTGGCAAAGTAATGTCTCTGCTTTTTAATATGCTATCTAGGTTAGTCATAACTTTCCTTCCAAGGAGTAAGCGTCTTTTAATTTCATGGCTGCAATCACCATCTGCAGTGATTTTGGAGCCCCCCAAAATAAAGTCTGACACTGTTTCCACTGTTTCCCCATCTATTTCCCATGAAGTGATGGGACCCAATGCCATGATCTTAGTTTTCTGAATGTTGAGCTTTACGACAACTTTTTCACTCTCCTCTTTCACTTTCATCAAGAGGCTTTTTAGTTCCTCTTCACTGTCTGCCATAAGGGTGGTGTCATCTGCATATCCGAGGTTATTGATATTTCTCCCACTCGGAGGCCCCTAAATAGAAACAAACATGACTGGCCTGGTCTGTTTTGTGTAGATTTAAAAGAAACCAGTAGACCTAAAGCCACTTTTCTTCAGCACTTCCTCTCCATGCACCTGCTTCAAGCGTCACTTGTCTTGGTCTTCTGTTTTTCAGGGATCGACCCAGACTTTACCAACATGTTTTTCATCCCTAAAGAAGGCCACACACACTCGTGTGACACCTCACAAGTCTGCTGGGCAGCTGGAACCAGGCACACAACCTTCCCGTTGTCCAAAGCTACAGGAAAAGCAAGCTTGCGTGACCTTGTGCGGGGGGGAACAGCCACTGCTGGTAAGCCCGCTGATGGCAGCACAGCCCAAGGGGAGGGGTCCCCATGGACCTGGAGGGGCTGGCAGGTGGTGGCATCTGAGGAGGACAAGTGTGGGCAACTCACACTCATTTGTTGTCTATGAAGTGGGCTGGGCACTCTGGTGTTTATTCCCTCATTTAATCCCATGTCTGGTAAGTGGGCTTCTCCAATGGCTCAGCTGGTAAAGAATCCAGCTGCAATGCAGGAGACACAGGTGGCGCAGGTTTGATCCCTGAGTCAGGAAGACCCCCCTGGAGGAGGAAAATGGAAACCCACTCCAGTCTTCTTGACAGGAGAATCCCATGGACAGAGGAGCCTGGTGGGCTAATCCATGGGGTCACAGAGAATTGGACACAAGTGAGTGGCCGAACGTGCTTATGCTCACTGGTAAGGTGAGAAACAAGGATGAAAATCAGTCAGTGCAACCCTAAGTTTCCCTCTGCCCCAGGTTGTATCCCTTGGTCTAGCCTCCCGACCTCTGGTACAGGGAGGGGGAGGGGCACCTCCAGAATCCAACCCACCAGGAGCTATTTTTGCAGCACTGGATTCAGTCCTTTTATTTATTTGTTAAATTGTGGCATGTGGGATCTTTAGTTGTGGCATGAGGGACCTAGTTCCCTGACCAGAGATTGAACCCAGGTTCCTGGACTGGGAGTGCAATCTTTACCACTGGGACACCAGGGCTGTCCCTGGATTCAGTCTTGAGGTGGAAACAAGAGCAGTGGGGAATTGGGCTCTGACCTTAAGGCTGTCCTCAGTTGGTTTTTGAATCAAGATACATACTTGGAATAAATACAGGAAACACAAGGCATAGGTTCTAAAATGCTTTTTATACGGAAAATTTGAAGTTTCAAAAAATAGGTTTGTTTTTGTTGTTGTTCAGTTACTAAGTCATGTCTGATTCTTTGTGTCCTCATGGACTGCAGCACGACAGGCTCCCCTCTCCCCTGTCACCTGGAGCTTGCTCAAACTCATGTCCATCGAATCGATGATGCCATCCAACCATCTCATCCTCTGTTGCCCCCTTCTCCTCCTGCCTTCCATCTTTCCTGGCATCAGGGTCTGTTCTAAGGAGGTAGAACAGTGTAATCGTCACCCGTGTAACTGTCTTCCAGGCTCAATAATCATCACCATCTTGTCCATCTCATTTCATCCACCCCTCTCTTTACAAATTGTCTGAGACCTTTTCTTGTTGGGATCCTTTAAAGGGAACTCTGGACCCCATGCCTTTTCACCAGCAGGGCAGTTTTCATGCTGCAGATGTCACCTTGAGCTGGGAATGCTGAAAACTGCTTGTGTGCTTGGTTAGGGGAAATTGTATTTTCACTTTGGCGGAAGAAATGACCAAAGCTCAGTGGCCTCAGGGTAGACTCTGACAAGCTCTGTTTTGGTGGGGCAGCTTTTGGCAAGGACTTGCTCTAGGCCTGGTGGTGGTGGTAGTTTAGTTGCCAAGTCGTGTTTGACTTTTTTGCAACCCCACATAGAACTGGACACTATTGAGTGACTAAGCACACACACACATGAATTGTAGCCCACCAGACTCCTCTGTCTGGATTTGGATTTCCCAGGCAAGAATACTGGAGTGGGTTGACATTTTCTTCCCCAGGGGATCTTCCTGGCCAAGGAACTGAACATGGATCTCCTGCATTGCAGGCAGATTCTTTACTGGCTGAGCCACCGGGGAAGCCCAAGAGTGCTCAGAGAAAGCACTTGCCCCTGGGTGGGCTTGGACTCATCCCAAAGATGCCCTAGGTGTGCCCCCTTTCCCGGTTTCCCTCTAGAAGTACAGTGGAAGAGTTCACTCCAGTGTATTTCCGAGATGAACAGGCTATTTTCTGAAAAAACCAGTGTGTCCAAATCAGGCTGGGCCCCGGCCACCGATGTGCTGCTGGATCTGGACACCGTCAGAGAACTGTCCTCTGGGGTCAGCAGGTACCGCGACTTCATCCGCCAGCTGCCCATCCACCTCTCCAAGTATATTCTAAGTATGCGGGGCTTGTTGGGGGGTTTCTCAAGCACCCCCTCTCCCTCACTGTGGCCCAGGTTGGAGGTTCCCAGGCCCACTTCTTGTTTTTCCAGGTTTGCTGGATAGGAGCACCTTGAACAGGTGTAGCTTTGTGAGCCAGCACTGGGCGGCGCTGGCGCAGCAGGTCAAGACCGACCTGTCCATGCACTCCTTCATCCAGCACCAGATCGCCTTCCTGCAGGTATGGCCTGTCTGGGAGGGACAGGTCAGACCAGCCTCCTTTCTGCCAAGCCTTCCCGTCTGTGGTGGCTCCCGAGCTGGCCTCCAACTCCACGTGGGCTGCTTCCTCATTGCCTTCATGTCCAGACTCTCGGTCACCACTGACTCTCTGATGGGGAGCACCCTGTCTAGAAGCCCCGCAGGCAGAGAGAGGCAGAGCCTTCCCCATGCCCCATGGCGCTGGGAGCTTTCCCCAGGAAGCCTTACCAGAGCTTGTGCCATAAGAGAGCCTCACGTACACAGATGTTTACAAGGCCACAAAGTGTATTTTTAGGTTATGCTGCACTATTCCCTGGATAGTAACCCCCTCTGGCATTTACAGTTCTGTCTCTTGCCTGAAGCCTGACCCTAAATCAGGGGTTCCTGGTAGTTTGGTTTTTTCCCAGCAGAGGGAGGGGACAGGAGACAGACGAGGAAGCCTTGAGGCAGGCCACATGCTGGAGGCTGGGGACCACCCACCGTTCTTTTTTTTAAAAATTAATTAATTTATTTTAATGGGAGGCTAATTACTTTACAATATTGTAGTGGTTTTTTCCATACATTGACATGAATCAGCCATGCCACCCACCGTTCTTGCTGGTCCTCCCTGGACGTTTGATGTCATTACCCTTCTCGAACCAGTCTGCCCACACCAGTGGCCCAACTCTCCAGGCCCATGCCTTCCCAGGCCAGAGCTTATCTGTCTTTCAGATCCTGCCAAGCACTAGTTTTTAGTTTTTTCTTGGAGTGTAAGAACACTTCTGTTATTTCCCCCAGGGGTCCTACACCAGGGGAATAGACCCTAATTATGCCAACAAGGTTATTATCCCAGTTCCAAAAATGACGGATGACGGGAAGCACCTACGTGTGAAAAATCAGAAGTGGAAACTGAGAACCAAGGTGGGTTCCGAAGGCATCTGGGGTAAGTGACTGTAGGGCGTCCTTTCTTACTGGCCACTGAAGGCCGAAGTCCAGGCTCGGACCTCACGTAAGGATGCCAGACATCAGAGGGTACAGGATAGAGCATATTATGGATGTGGGGCATGGAGGATATGGGATAGAGCATATGGATGTGGGGTATGGGAGGTGACATACCCTAAGAGAGAGGCCAGAGTCCTGTGTTGTGTGTCTGTAGGCAAGTGATTTCCTCTCCTTAAGCCTTGTATTCCTCATCTGTTAAGTGAGGACTCATTTGTGTGTCTTCTTGAAGTTCTTCCTGACTGCGGCTCCCACGCCAGGTCCTGTGTCCATGACACCAAGCATCTAGTGGGCAGCTCAGAGCCAGGAGCAATGTCAGGATCACTGGGTGTCCCCACCGGTCTGTCCCTGCGTCTCATGGTCGCAGAGGTCTGTGGCTGGGGATGGGGGAGGACGTCAGGGCAGGGCCTCTCTGAGGCTGCCCTCACTGAGGCTCCGCTGTCTCATCTGTGAAATGATGAGAATACTTGCTGGGGCAGGTGACATGCTCTGTGACGCAGCTGTGAGGAGGTGAGGGTTGCTAATGTGTGAAGACTTCAACACACCAGGCACAGAGCGTGCAGCAGTGATTCAACTTGTGCCTCGAGTTCCCACAAGTATGCTCTGGACTTTCACATGTACACAACATGAACGTGAATCCCCGGGTTCCATGAAATGGTCGGTCAAGGGGCACCAGTGACTTTATTTTGCATGCATCGTGGTCCTGAGCTCAGTTTAAAAAAATTGTGTTATCAGCAGCACCGGACGTTCACAGAATCAGAGGTGGAAGGGGAATCAGGACCCTCGACTCAGTATTTTTGCACTCAGGGGTTCCTTTTCTCACTGGTCGGCCGGCCCCCTCCCCATCACCACGTAGCGGTTGCCATGGCCTGAAGAGGAGGAGGCCATGGACCCCTGAGCCCTTTCCAGGGGTGAATCCCAGGGTGCATGTCTGGGGCCCTGGGTCAGGTCGCCCTGTCCTTTGACTGCGGGTGTTCCCTTGTTAGAATGACTACAACCTGTGGACTGCGTACCAGAACCAGGAGACTCAGCAGGTGCAGATGGAGGAGAGGAATGTCTTCTGTGGCTCTTACAACATCCGCATCCTCTCTGACATGTAAGTACTAGGCTCAGAATCTAGGGCCCAGGGCCCCTGGACTACCCACACAAGCATCTGAGGATTCCCATGACCCTCGCTCACTGGAAAAGCAATCCTTCTTCACCTGAAACTCCAGCCCCAAACCCATCTGGAGACTTGGTGCTTGATTTTTCCACCATTCTCAGTAGAGGGTGGGCTTCCCTGGTGGCTAAATGGTAAAAGAATCTGCCTGTCAATGCAGGGGACGTGGTTTCGATCCCTGGGTGGAAAAGGCCCCCTGGGGGAGGAACTGGCAACCCACGCCAGCATCCATGCCTGGGAAATCCCATGGACAGAGGAGCCTGGCAGGCTACAGTCCATGGGGTTGCAAAAGAGTTGGACATGACTTAGTAACTAAACAACAACAAACAGTAGCGGGTGGAGGACACTCTGCCCTTACAAATTTTGGGTACACTGACCAGCAACCTTTTGCACAATTCACATGCATGAAATCTTTTAAAACTATCTTTACTGTTTAATTCTTATTTTAGAAGTAATATATAGTCATTGGAAAAAATATCCACTAAATGCCAGAAAATGTATAGAGAAAAAGCAATCCCTTCTATAATCTCGTCATATAGAGATAACTACCATTAATTTTGATGTCTATCATAGAATTTTTTCTTGGCATGTATAAATACATATTTTAAATAGAAATGGGGCTATTCTATACATATTTCGGTAACCCACTCTAGCAAAGTACTGTGTCTTTTCATTTAAATATTAAAATGGTATTTATGGTAACTATGTAGTGTGACATCATTTGAATATGCCAGAAGAAGATCCTTTCATAATGTCAACTTCCTGACATATTTTAGATCTAGAACTTCACTTTTTATTCAAAAAGTTTTGTGAAGGACATCTTTTATTCTGTTTTTGGTTGTGAACCTTACTAACAAATTACATCTTGACCAGTCAAATAGGGGGAGGACAGAACAGATGGGAAAAGACAGAGCTGAGTGTTTATGAATAGTATGGTGATATGTACTCTTTAGCAGAGAAAATGACAGGTTGAACTCTAGATATCACAAATGGAATGAGGGCAAAATTGTCAGGAATTGCTCCTCATATTTAGAGTGACTATCCATCCCTGTTTATCCAAACAACCCTGCTTTACTGTGTGGTCCTCGAGTAATTAATAATAGTGTCCCCTTTCATGATAAAAAAAATCAGTTTGGACAATAAATTTTTTGGTCATCTTGCTCATATTTTATCTACTTGCTAATAATCTTGTGATTAGAAAATTAGTTCAACTCACCCTATTTTGTTGGATTTCATACTGATTGAGGGCAGGGTCCATCCATATCTTGCTCATCTTTGTGTTTCCCATGAGCACCTATTAGCACAAGACTTTGCCCCTAATGTAGTATGCTCATGGGATATTGGTTAAGGGAAACAACAATGACAGCAGTGGGATATGCAGTCAGTATAGGGCTTCCCAACTGTGTTCCTCTGAGGTTTTCTGTGAAAAAAGTTTTCCATGGTCAAATAAAGCAGAAAATGCTGCATACTCTGTTCTCTGTCCTGGGGATTTATTATACATTAGCAGAAACTGTTAAAATAATTGTGCCTTTTCTGTTTAGGTTTTAAATCTACTTGAAATGCATTTTTGTTACAGTGTGAGGTAGGGATCCATCAGGGCTTATTAACATTAGGCCTTGCCTTCTGCTACATCCCTTGCTGAATGGATTTTCCATGATGGCATTGCTATAGGCAAAAGGCACTGTACTAAGTAGTTCCATGGTTCTCTTCTCTCATGGTACATCTTTTTCCTGGCGACTCAGGTGGGACCGAAATAGAATCATCCACTATTCTGGGGGAGATTTGTTAGCCATGTCATCCAATCGAAAGATCCAGCTTCTGGACATCATATGTGTAAAGGAGATACCCATCAGGTTTCGAGGCCATGCTGGGAGTGTCCGGGCCCTCTTCTTGTGTGAAGAAGAGAACTTTCTCCTGAGTGGGAGTTATGACCTGAGTATCAGGTAAGTGGTCCAAGAAAGTTGTGGTCCTCAACTTGCCCAGGCCTAAACACAGCTTGTGGAAAAAGCACGTGTGCTTTTACGTTTTTTTTGTATTTATGCAAAAGTTATCCTAAATGATGCTGACTTCTAGAATAACCCACACTTTTTTTGGCAAGATAAAAACCAAAAATGTGTATATTGTTTAAACTTTGAGTGAGATAGATTTATAGCAATTATTAGATTTATTTTCTAGCTGAAGTTTACAAATCAGAAAGTATTTTCTTTAGTATTCTTAGATGAAAGCATAGTTTATATTTCTTTTTATGGATTCCTTCAGGGGAAAGTAGTTTTTTTGTGAGTGTGAAACCTGGTATGGAGGCCAAATAGTGATAAAAGTATATATATACAAATATTTTTGAACAATATAATAAATACTCATGTGCTTGTTACTCAGGTCAAGAAGTAGGGCATTACCATTCCCCAAATCTTATTATGTGCCTTTCTCTTATTTTTTCTTTCTTCCTCCCAATCAGTATAAATTTTATACTTAAATTTTTTTTATAGTTTTGCTACCTATTTAGGTATCTCCACATATATTCACTACCTTTGTCATTTCTTGAACTTAACATAAATGTAGTTGTGTTTTAAAAATTCATGTGTACTTGATTCAAGCACTAATTTTGAGATTCATCTTTATGATATAGATAGCAGTGATGAACTTATTTTCACTGAGATATAGTATTTTATTGGATGAATACATCATCATAGCTCATTTGTTTACTCTTCGGTTGGTGGATATTTGCATTGTTGTTAGCTCTTTATTCTTTCAAAGATTACTGCCATAGACATTCCTGTATGTATTTTCTGGTACCCATGTGTATGAGTTAAAAAAATTTTTTTTCTTTAAAATTTTTTATTGAGGTATATTGACATACATATATTTTATTGAGGTATATTGAGGTATACATTGACATACAATATATTAGGTGTACAATATAATGACTTGAGATATGCATATATTGCAAAATGATTACCCCAGTGAATTTAATTATATCCATCACTGCATATAGTGACATTTTTTTTTCTTGTGATGAGAACTTTCAAGATCTACTCTCAGCAACTTTAAAAACACAACACAGTGCTGTTGGCTTGCTTTTCTATTCTTGCATCAAAACTACCTTTTTAAAAAAGACAATTTTTATAGAGCAGTTTCAGATTCACAGCAAAATTGACAGGAAGACACAAAGTTTTCCAATATACCCTCTGCACCCGCACATGAATATATTCTCTTGTCCTCAAGATTCCCCATCAGAGTGGTACATGTGTCACAACTGATGACCCTGCTTTGACACATCATAATCTGTGCTTTCCTGATGGCTCAGTGGGTAAAGAATCCTCCTGCAGTGCAGGAGATATAGGAGATGCAAGTTTGGTCCCTGGCTTGGAAAGATCCCCTGGAGGAGGAAATGACAACCCACTCCAGTATTCTTGCCTGGAGAATCCCTTGGTCAGAGGAGCCTGGTGGGCTACAGTCCGTGGGGTCACAAAGAGTTAGGACACAACTGAGCGACTGAGTATGCATGCAGTTACCTAAAGTCTACAGTTTACCTTAGGGTTCACACTTGGTGGTGTATTTTGTATGTATTTGGACAAACATATAATGACACGTACCCATCATTATAGTATCATACAAAGTATTTTCACTGCCCTAAAATCCTCTGTTCTCTGCTTACTCATGCTTCTCCCAATGTTATATAGTTGAAATCATACAGTGTGTAGCTTTTTCAGATCTTCTTTCACTTAGTCATACTCATTTAAGGCTCCTCCATGTCTTTTCATGTCTGGATAGCTCATTTTTTTCTTACACTGAATAATATTCCACTGTCCGGATGGACCACAATTTATTTACTCCTTCATCTACTGAAGGACATCTTGGTTGCTTCTACATTTTGTCTGTTATGAGTAAGTGGCTATAATCATCCATTTACAAGTTTTAAAAAATATTTATTTATTTGGCTATAATGGGTCTTAGTTGCAGCATGCAGAATTTTCAGTGCTGCATATAGGATCTTTAGTTGCAGCATGTGGGATCTAGTTCCCTGACTAGGGATTGAACCCAATCCCCCTGTATTGGGAGCATGGAGTCTTAGCCACTGGACCACTAGGGAAGTCCCCATTCCTATTTTTCTAAAAGCGTTTATCAAATACCTTTTCTGCATAAATTATGAAAACAACCTGGGCATATGGTCAACCATGCTGCTAGGAGGTAGAAATTCAAAACATGGTTTTTTTTTTTCAGACCACTGGGACCTTGTTAAACTCAACTATGTATGCATAGCAGGCTCTGATGAACAGATAAAGGCCATGGGACCTTTAGGAATATTAGAAGGAAAAATCTGACAACGCTTCCCTGCCCAAATCAAAAGAAACATTTACTTATTGTTTATTATGTGCCAAGTCTCCTAATATATGGGATAAGTACCATTATTATCCCCAATTTACAAATGAGGAAACTGAGATAGCAGGTGATTCAGTAACTTATTTGAGATCACACAGCCAGTGAGTGATGGATATGGGAGTGGACCTCAGGCAGCCTGGCTCCAGAGCCCAGTCTCTTGACATTATACTTTGTCCTGTCACAAAGTCAGTATGAATGATGGTTGAGAGACCTCAGGCAGGTTTGTATATTAAAAAACAGTGTGACTCATACATGTTTCCCATATATCTCTTAGATATGCTTTGTGTGTGTGTGTGTTTAGTTGCTAGGTCATGTCTGACTCTTTGTGACCCCATGGACTGTAGCCCACCAGGTTCCTCTGTCCTTGGGATTCTCCAGGCAAGAATACTGGAGTGGGTTTCCATCCTCCTCCAGGGGGTCTTCTCAACCCAGGGATGGAACCCAGGTCTCCTGCATGGCAAGTGGATTCTTTACCACAGAGTCACCTGGGGAGCCCTAGATATGCTTGAGAAATGCACGTAAAATAGTCTGAATCCAAGTGGCACATGTCAATTGTTCTGTTGTTCTTGTTTGAAGATTAGCTCTACCACTGAATCAGTGTCATGGATTCTGAGCCTGGTGATTGTTCTAGGGACCCTTCCATTTGATGAAAAGTGTTAGTCACTCAATTGTGTCTGACTCTTTGCAATCCCATGGACTGCAGCCTGCCAGGCTCCTCTGTCCATGGAATTAAGCCATTCCCTTCTCCAGGGGATCTTCCTGACCCAGGGATCAAACCTGGGTCTCCCACATTGCAGGCAGATTCTTTACCATTTGAGCCACCAGGGAAGCCGAACTTGTGACAACCAAACGTCTCCAGACATTGTCACATGTCCCCTGGGAGTGGATGTCACCCCTAGTTGACAATTTCTGCATTACTGTATTTAATATTTCATAAATCTGTGAGATAATAATAATTATTATTATCATTTCCATTGTATCAAGGAGGAAATGAAGTTTTCACCAAAGTTCAGTAGCTTTCTTAAAGTTACACATAATAGGTGCTGCAACTGGGATTCAAATCCAGGCCTTGGACTCTGAGCTTAATCATGAAACTCTGATGCCTTCCAACTACCTATCAACCTAAAGGAACTCTATACTGTTGAACCCTTGGGCCCTCAGAAAGTCTCAAAAACATCTCTTTTTTGTGGTTTGATTCCTGCAGATACTGGGATCTGAAGAGTGGGGCTTGTATACGCATCTTCAATGGCCACCAGGGGACCATCACCTGCATGGATGTGTATAAGAACAAGCTCGCCTCTGGAGCAAAAGATTGCCAGGTAAAAGGTGAGAAAGAAATGCCTCAGACTCTCTAAGATGTTTCCTTAAGCCTATGGGTTGCCAGAAGACTTGTTTTGCTCATTTCTAAAGGCAGTTGCTTATCCCTTCATCCATCTGCTTATGGATCCATCGATTCATTCACTCGATGACTATTGGTTGAATGCTAGGAGCTATGCTAAGTGGCAGCATATGCCATGGCCCTTTCCACATGGCTTTCTATTTCCTCAGAGCCTCGTGGTCTCCTAATGGAGACAGATATATAAATATATCACGGAGGGAAGAGTAAATATGTGAATGACAACAGTTGCTGTTGAGTACTAACTTTGGGACAGCGATGGGTGCTTTACATTATCTTATTTCAGTCTCATAAGTGTTCTATGGGGTGGATGCAGATAAGGGATCCACGACTCAGAGAGGAAAACAATTAGCCCTGAGTCAAAACTGCTAAGTGGTTGGGTGGGGATTTGAATCTAGGGCTGTCTGGTTCTAAAACATGTACTCCAGTGAGTTTGTGGAAGTCTAAGTCACCATAGAAATAAGAGTAAAAGGGAAAGCACTGCAGACAGGGTACTGTGTGAGTGTGGTCCTGAGGATGAGTAGTTCTACATGCAGAGGGAGCATGTAGGGCATTTCAAGCAGAAGGAACAGCTCAGGCAAATCACAGAACATGAAAGAAAATGAAGAATTGAGGGACTTTCCCTCTTCTCAGTTGGCTGAGCTGTTGTGTGTGGTGTTGGCGATCAGGCAGGTATTTTTTTGGGGGCCAGATTATAAAGGGCCTTCTGTGTTGAAAATTGAACTTTATTCTGTAAGATGTATGAGGCTGTAAATGCATTCTAAGCTGAGAAGCGATATGATGAAATGTGTATTTGAGAAAGACTGCTCTAGTGATATTGTGGAAGAAAGATTTGGAGAGATGGCAACTCTGTGGGGACAGGGGACAAGTTAAAATACTACTCAGTCTAGAGAACTTCTGGATGTCTTCAGAATATCTGAGAATAGGCAAGTGTGAAGTTATCGGATGGATCTGAGTTTATAGGAGATGGTACATACAGAGGGTGGGGCAGGTGGGATTTCCAGAATGAGAACAGGCAGGACTTCAGCACCAACAGGAAGTGAAAAGCAAGAAAGAAGGGTGAAGGGTGAGGTCAGACTTTATAACTCAGGTCATTGGGTACACAGAAGGACGACTGATGGAAATGGGACCTTGGACGAAGAGCAGGGTAGGGGAGGGATGGAGGAGAAGATGATGGCTTATATTTTGGACACGTCGAGTGTGGCAGGCAGGCAGAACAGCCAGACAAAGATGGTCCCATCCTAATCCCGGAAACCAGTGACTGTGTCACCTTGCATGGCAAGAAGGACTTTGAAAATGTACTGAAGTCAGGGACCTTAAAGTGGGGGTTGGGTTATTGGTGTGGGTCCATGGGTCATCACTTGGATCCATAAAAACAGACATTTTCTTATGTGTGACCAAAAGGAGACGTGACTGTGGATGAATGGTCAGAGAGATGGAACGTTGTTGGCCTTGAAGATGGAGAAAGGGGGTTGTGAGCCAAGGTGTGTGTGTGGGACCCTAGAAGGTGGAAAAAGCAAGGACATGGATTCCTTCCCCCACTAGCCTGAGACTCCCTAAAGGAGCACAGCCCTGCTGACACCTTGATTTTAACCTTGTGAGGTTGTGCAGTGATTCTGTAAGATAATCCATTTGTCATTTTCAGGCTCTAAACTGAAAGTAATCTGTTACAGCAGCAATGGGAAGCTAATGCATTGAGTGCGGAGTTCCCGCAGATGCCCAGGTGAGGGCAAAAAATCAACGTAGAAAAGCTTACTCACATAGTTTGGGTTAATGGTTAGAAACATGGTCTCTGGACCCAGACTCCCTGGGTTCAAATCCCAGTTCAATCTGCTCACCACCCCTGTGATCTTACTGAACTTCTCTGGGTCTCAGTTTCCCCATCTGTACAGGAAGGAGTAATAATAGCTTTGTCTTGTAAAGATGTGTTGATGCATGGTAAGCATTTTGATTGGTGCCTGGCTCATGGCTAGTGTGGGGTGGGTGTGTACTGTGGTTAGTATTTGGTCCTGTGATACTCATTCCATTGTCTGAGGAAGAAAGTTCTATGGGGGGCTTTAATGTTCTCATCACTGAATTTGTGATGCCCACTGAATTTGTGGTGCTCAGTCTCTTCCTTCAAGCTCAGTTCTCCCACCACCCATGGACTCTCATATCCACCCAACATTTCCGATATGAGAGGTGGGGGCTCCAGCACCATCTGTGTAGAAGCAGCAGTAGATCCACCCTCAGCTGTGATAATCTCTTAGAAGTAAAATCCACAGGTCAGATTCAGAAATACTTTAAAATGTAAATGGAGATAGAGAGCTTTCTCTTCTTTGGGGGTGGTTAGGAGGTGAGGGTCAGGAGACAGCATCTGGGAGGAATCATGCCCTGAATACCTGCCATGATTTTCCTGAAATCTACTCTAGCATCTTTCAGGCTTGAGGAGGAGGCTTACTGGAGATGAGTTGTCCACCTCTTAGACGAGGAGGCTAAGTTCTAGGGTCAGAGCCAAGGTCTATGCATTGCTGGATCTCCCAAGGGCTATGAGGGGGAGCCCTGGGTTGCAGGTACATGGACTACGGGTGAGTGTGTGGGGGTGCTGGACCAGGTGAAGCCTTCTGGAGCCTGACATGAGGGGCTCAGCTGGTCTCAGCTTCTGTGATGGGGTATGGAGCCCCTTTGGCACCTTCTTCATGCACCTACTTTTTTCTCTCCCCTTCCCTTTCAGAATGGGATATAGAGACAGGGAAGTGCCTAAAGACTTTCAAACACAAAGACCCCATCTTGGCCACCAGGATCAATGACACGTACATCGTGAGCAGCTGCGAGAAAGGCATGGTCAAAGTGTGGCACATGGCCACGGCCCAGCTGGTAAAGGTGAGGAGTGGGGACTTGGGGGAGGGGACTAGGGGGACAGGCTAGGGGTGGGGACTGGGGAGCAGAGTGCTGCGGGTAAGAGACCAGAGGACACTGATAGTGCACCTCCAGGTAGCTCCCCAGACCACCCTAGGGTGTTTGAGAGGCAGTCATCAAAAGAGGGTGGTCCTGAGAAAGGGAAGGGGAAGACCCCCTAAGAAGGGCCCATTCTGAGTTGGTTGAAGGTCAAGGCCCACGTGAGCCATGTTGTCATGGGTGGAGGTGGTGGAAGCTGCGTTCTGACTCTGCAAGACACATGGACTCAGCGGGGTCTTTTCACAACAGCACAGGTAAAGTACCTTTTCTTCTTCTGGAACATCTGACCCTGATTCTGGCATGGGGTCTGGGAATGAGCAAACCACAGTGATCTCCTCTTGCCTCTCTTCTGAGAATGTTGGCTGTCCAGAAAGTGATCGAATGTTTACACGCAAGAAGTGTTTTTGCCGGATGGGCAGCCCCATCCCTGGTGGGTGGTGCTGAGATATCTTTTGTGCCAAGAACGCAGGATCACAGTGAGAAACGGCTGCCTGGCTGGTGGGCTTTTTCACCAGTGATGTTACCGTGGTCTAAGCAGCAGTTACTGGATATCAAGCTGCCTCTGGTCCTGGCAGGGAGCTGACACATGAGCCTTGCCCTTCTGTCAGCGGAGGAAGGAAGACTGTGTCCCTCTCAGGCACTCTAGGAAGGCGGGGCCTGCCTGGTCACAGACCCACTGGGTACCAGGCCTCCCCCGATCTCCTTCCTCCTTAACTGGGGAGGGAGCTCTGAAGAGCAGGTTGCCTGAACCTCACCAACCTTCTTAGAGCAGACATGTAGTGGACTCAGGCAGACTCCCAGTGTGGTAGTCACAGATTGGTGGAGCGTGGCTTTGGGATCCATCTCAAGAAGCCTCCAGCTCTACTCCTTGAGGAGTCACTATTCGGGCTGAAGATGGACTGAGAACAGAGGCATCTTTTCTTGCAGACGCTCAACGGCCACGAGGGGGCCGTGAAGTGTCTATACTTCGACCAGTGGCATCTCCTGTCGGGAAGCACTGATGGCCTGGTCATGGCCTGGAGCATGGTGGGAAAGTATGAACGGTGCCTCATGGCCTTCAAGCATCCAAAGTAGGTGCTCAGGACACCCTGGCTAGGTCCCTGCCCCCAACCCCAATTTTCCCATCGGAACCTAGACTTCACTCTTTAGATCAGTCCCCACTGCTCTCTGCTGACCCTCTCGCCTCTGCTCCTCACCCATTTCCACTTTCCTTTTCTTCCACCTGTTGCCCAATATAGTCACCCCCTCTCTGCCCTCCTTATTTTTCTTAAAAAACAACAATACTGGGTGCAGATTTTGAGAAGTTACTGAAAATTTACACTTACGGCACATGTGATAAATTTTATCTGTTACCTACCAAATTTAGGAATATTGGCGGAACTGTCCCTCAGTGTTGCCAGGTCCAGTAAACTTAAATTCTTGGAATTTTGTGGTTGCGAAAGCTTAAAATGACCCAGGTGCCAAAGGTTTAAAAATAACTAATGGCTTAAAGAAGGAGCTCCCTTAAAGAAAGCCTGTGGGCTCAATTCTATTCCGGGACAGCAAATGGATTTCATTTTGCATTTCCAATCCCAGTTTAGTGATGGTGCCTGCTTGGATCCAATTAAGAAGTACTCTGAGGTTATCTAAGCTTATTTGGAAAGGGCATTGTGGTCAATGGTTAATGGTTAATGGTTCTGCCATAATCGTGGGTTTTACAGACTGCTCTATGCCACTCTTGTACTGCACGCATATTGCTTCCTCCCCTGAGTGCATTATAAGAGACTCCAGGAAGCTAAGTGCTATCCTAATTCATTGAGAGAGTGAATGGGTCTTCCAGAAGGATCTGTCAGTTATTTAATGAAATATGGTCCTAGATTTCCTTGTACCCTCACAGAAACCTCTTTTTTAAAATTAATTTTTAAATTTTTAAAAAAGGTTTTATGTTGGAGTATAGTTGATTAACAATGTTGTGATAGTTTCAGGTGCGCAGCAAAGGGACTCAGCCGTACATATATATGTACACATTCTCCCCAAACTCCCTTCCCATCCAGGCTACCACATAACATTGAGCAGAGTTCCTTGTGCTATACAATAGGCCCTATTTGGTTATCCACAGGAACTTCTTGAGCAGGCAGACTGGCTTTGTGGGCAGTAGAGGGGGATATGGGCCTATATGTGTATGTTCTATATCTGGGGTGTATAACTGCATTGTTGACAGGTGGGTAGTATCAGGAAGGGCCAGTGTTCAGTGATTTAGTCAACCCTTGGGTGATTATTGATAAACCTCTCAGCATTTATCATCTGGCTTGTCCAAACTTGACCTCAAGGAGGGACTCAAACTTTGTGATGTCACATTAAAATGGTAACGCTAGGTTGTTAAAACCTTCCAAGCATGATTCAGTAGGATTTAATTTAGTTATTGGAAGATAATTGTTTCCAGCAAACTCAGCAGGGTGTTCACCATTTCATCAGGCCCATTCTATTAATACCTCAGTTATGAGACCTTCTTAAACCATTCCCACTTCCACTGAATGACAGCCCAACATACCATCCACATTGGCTCTTGATGCCTCGCACACTTACAGCAAATCCATAGACAGTTATAGTACATTTGGAGGACATGGGCAGTGTTCTCATTTGTAGGGCCCTTTCTCCCACTCATCTGTAGCAGTACTGTGTGTAAATAAGTGCTTGATTGTTGTTGTTCTGTTGTTAATGTCTCACTCTTTGTGATCCCATGGACTGCAGCAAGTCCTATCTTCACCTGTCCTTCACCATCTCCCAGAGTTTGTTCAAACTCATGTCCATTGAGTTGGTGATGCCATCCAATCATCTCATCTTCTGTTGTCCCCTTCACCTCCTGCCCTCAACCTTTCCCAGCCTCAGGGTCTTTTCCAGTGACTCAATTCTTTGCATCAGGTGGCCAAAGGATTGGAGCTTCAGTTTCAGCATCAGTCCTTCCAATGAATATTCAGGGTTGATTTCTTTTAGGATTGACTGGTTTGATCTTGCTGGGCAGTTTGATCTCCTTGGTGGGTAGTTTAACTGGACATAATGAGGTGCTGAGAAAGCAAATTCATGCTATTGATTTGTACAAAGAAGCCAAATTATTAATTTATTGCAAGAAATATGATTATCAAGTACACTGAACACCTGCATTCCATTAAATGTATACATTGTAAATTTATATATATTATATATTTAATATATTAAATATATGTTTATATATTATATATAACATTTAAATATATATTAAGTAAATTGAATATATATATTTATGACTTAAAAATTAAGATAAGTCACATGACATAAAAGTCACCATTTCATGGTGTACAATTGAATGTTTTTTAGTATATCCATAATGTTATGTGGCCATTCCCACTATATAATTACACAATATTTCCATCAGTCAGTAGTAATGTCCTCTGTTTCATTTCTGGTTTTAGTAATTTGAATTTTATCTCTTATTTTTTGGGAGCAGTCTAAGCAAAGATTTTATAATTGTTATATCTCCTTGGTAAATTCACACTTTTATCATTATTATGTAATGTTCTTTTTTTGTCTCTATTAACAATTTTGTCTAAAAGTCTATTTTGTGTGATATTTGTATAGACACTGTGGTGCTCCTTTGGCAAGGAGTATCTTTTTTTTCCCATTCTTTCACTTTTAACATATTTGTGTCTTTGAATCTACAGTGAGCCTCCTGCAGGCAGCATTTAGTTGGATCATGTTTTTAATCATTTCTCCCAATGTCTACCTTTTAATGGAAGAATTTAATCTATTTACATTAAGTGTAAAACAAACTTAACTCTACCATTTGGCTCTTTGTTTTTCTATAGTCTTACACACACACACACACACACACACACACACACACATATATATATTTTGTTTGTTTGTTACATTTCTCAACTCTTCTCCTGTGGTCTTTTTGGGTGTTGAATGGATATTTAGATATTAACAGTGTACCATTTTAATTCTGTCATCACATTTTTACTATATATTTTTGAATTACTTTATTAATGGTTTCCCTTGGATTGCTGCAAGCCTTTGGTTATTGTCCAGAGTTCCAAATAGTTGATTCTGACAGTTTTTGCCAATTTTTCATTGCTTTTATGGAAGGATGGAATTTTGGAGTTCCTTTGAACTCCACCATTTTCACTGATATCACCTTCTGCAGTGTTTTTTTTTTTTTTTTTTTTTTGATCAAGGAGGGACAAAGAAAGAGACAAGTGACATTTCTAGGGCAGAGATAAAATATGAAAGGAGACTGGATTATGCCAGAACCATGAAAACCACTGTTGTGTGAGGTATGGGCTTAGTTTTTAAAATACCTTGATTGATTTAATCCCGACAGGAATCCTCTGAAGCAGTTCCCCTTCTCACGGAAGAGAAAACTGAAGACTGAGAGGTTATTTTCTCGTTTATACAGTCAGTAAGAGGTCCGATCAGGTTTTGATCCCAGATTTTCTGATCCCAAAGTCTGTGCTTTAAATCACCAGGCTATAATGGTATATAGGCTGAACCACCAAATGTCACAGGAACCCATGAGAAGTGTAGGCTCAGCTCAGCAAGATCCAAAGAGACACACAAGGAGGCAAACCCTTCAATCACAAGGCATCTCTCCTAGTGCTGGATTTGCCATAGGTGGACTGAGGTGCACTTAGGGCACCAATAAACTTATTGCATTTTCATCTTGGGAAAAAATGAGAACTTTGTTGAACTTTCTTACATATATTTTATACCTTAGATTTATTATCTGTCTATCCATCTGTTCATGTGTTCATCACGTGATACATCAAGCCACATTGGGTTCTTTGCTGTTCTTTGGATGTCTTCTGTGTTTCAAAGTCTTTGTTATTTTTGTTTTGCTAGTTGTTGGAGCCTTGAAAAGTCTCAGTATGACTCTGGTACCTTGGTCACCTTGGAATCTGACCAAGTCCAGATGATATGTGGTGGATGTCATTCTTTTATTTATTTTTTAACTTTTTATTTTCTATTGAAGCATAAGAGTCAGACATGACTTAGCAACTAAACAACAACAAAAACATAGCTGATTAGCAATGTTGAGATGGTTTCAGGTGCACAACAGAGCAACTCAGTCGTATATAGAGAACGTGTATACATGTGTTCTCCCCCCAAACTCCCCTCCCACCCAGGCTGCCACATAACATTGAGCAAAGCTCCCTGTGCTATACAGTAGGTCCTTGTTGGTTATCCATTTTAAATAGAGCAGTGTGTACTTGCCCATCCCAACTCCCTATGTTGGATATCATCATTTTAACATATCTTAGCAATGATCATACACTGAAACATGAGCCAACACTCACTTTTGTCATATTTATTGAGGACCTGCTATGGGACTGGGCCATGTGCTGGGTGCTGGGCATGCAAAGGTGAATAAGACAAGTGCTGTACCCAAGAGGATCTGACAATATATTGGAAGTCTATGTATATGAGTGGGGTGAGAGGAGAAGTGGAGATGAGAGATGGCTTTATAGAGAAAGTAACATATGAATGTGGCCATGGATGGACTTGGATGGGTGGAGGTGGCAGAGATTGATGGAGCTGCTTTGCACACAAGGACTAACAAATTGGTGACATCAAGTTCCATTTTTCAGTAGCATTAATAGCAGTGGGGTAATGGCACTTCTCAGATCTGAATACTCCACTTATCTGGAGCCCAGCTAGGACCCAACTGTTGTCAGGGGGGATTTCGTTAGAGGCATTTATCTAAATCTTCTCCCAATCCCCCCCTCTTCTCCTGCTGGTAATCACAAAAGAGAACTCAAAAATCTCAGCTGCTGGGTACAGTTTTCCTATGGGATGTTTCACTGAAAGAATGAAAGCCACTAATTTAAGGACCAAGAGAACCTGCTCAAATACCAGGTTTTTGCTTCTTATAAAGATAACCATTTTCCCCTCTGTTTTTTCTTTATTTATATAATAATGCTACTTTTTAAAAGATTCAAAATGTCAAATAATTCTGAGCATGACATTTGTAGACGTCTGATAGCTAGAAATCAAACTGTAAGAGAGAAGCACAGTCATCTATATATCTGACCAAAAAAAAAAAAAAATCTTGACATAAGCCCTTTTGTTTTTCTGCTTTGTGGCGCTGTGACCAAGTTGTAGGAACAGTAACTGCAGTAGGAACAGTAACAGTGAGGGGAGAGAGTACAGTTGTGTCTTGAGGGTTAATGGTTTACATCCAGAATCACAAAATGATGGCAAACATCACTTCAAGGACAGTCATGAGCAGCCCCCTTCCAACCACACACCAAACTCCCTGACTGCAGACACATCCGAGTGGTTCGCTGGAAGGTGGGTACTGCCTGTCACTCTGTTCCTTTCCAGGGAGGTTCTCCACGTGGCCCTTCTCTTCCTCCGGGTCATCAGTGCTTGTGCCGATGGCAAGATCCGCATTTACAATTTCCTAAACGGGAACTGTCTGAAGGTGATGAAAGCCAATGGCAGAGGTGATCCTGTGCTGTCCTTCTTTATTCAGGGCAACAGGTGGGTGGTCGGTGTGGAGGTCAGGGTCATGAGCGAGTCTGTTTAGATGGTTTCTTTTTCCCTCCTCTGGGACACTGGCCCTGGATTTGCTGGCAGCAGGAGAGCACAGGTTGTGCTCACTTGCAGTTTGGGTTGCGGTGGATGATGGGCTCAGGGGCTCATTTGTTCCCAGGGTCAGATCTGATCATGTGATGGGCATGATACAGCTCTGCCGCAGGGACCTGGTTCTGCCAACAGGCAGCCTCCACCTGGCCCCCTGATCCCGTGTCCAGCCTGAGTGCTCCTCAGCTCCCTGTGTCTTGTTTCTGATGCAAAGAGACTTGCAGGAGGGTTGGGGTGGCATTGGCAGGTGGCCCCATGTCCAGTGGGGCAGAACTGAGCAGAGGTGTGTGTAGGTGTGCTCGAGAGGTGTGTGCTCAGTCGCTTAGTCATGTCTTATTCTTTGTGACCCCATGAACTGTAGCCAGCCAGGCTCCTCTGTCCATGGGATTTTCCAGGCAAGAATACTAGAGTAGGTGGCTTTTCCCTTCTCCAGGGAGCAGAGGAGTTTACAGAAACAGAACCATGGTAGCACTAATTGAATATAGCACTGTGTTGTTATACGCTAGGTTCACATGATATTATGTAAAAATACCCAACTAGACTTTTAAATTCTAGCACAGGCTCACTTGAGACATCACCTAGTTGCTCCGAACTATTTTGCCTTCCTTCTGCGTAATAAGGCTCAATAAATGAATACTCTTTCAGTCATGAAGTCAGAAGGCCATAAAGAGAGGTCACCTCTGACCTTTTTCTCATTCGTGACATCCAAAGAGAGACATCAGCTTGAGTAAAAACAAGTCTGTAAGATTTCTAACTGGGATGGTTCCCTGATTCCATTCCAGCGTATCCTACCATAATCAGTCACTTGTATGGAGTGTTTATGCTAACTGTGACAGTCTTAAAATTACAGCCTTTCAGAGCAGAAAGGAGCCTGCACGCAGCATTTCCATCTCTTGTTTACAGTTATAGGCGACCTAGGAGCCAGGGTTGGGGAGTAGCGCCCTGTGAATGCTGTGAACCCCAGGAACAGTGGGTGGGAGGTAATGTTGGGGATCCTGGGTTCACGGGGGATTAGGGAATATGGAAACCCTCCTGCTTTCCAAATACAAATGTCCTGTCTGGAGATAGAGTGTGCACAGAGATCCTGGAGTGATGGAGTGAAGGTCGGGGTGGAAGGTCGGCGAGGGCTTGAAGACTTCCCCCATTAGAGAGCTTTCTCATCCCATCATGACAATAGACATGTGGCATTTGGATGCTGTGCTTAGGAAAGGAGTGAACTTCCAGGCATCTGTGTGCAGAGTAGCTAAGCTTTCTGCCTCGGGTACCTAGGTCCTCAGCACTTACTCCAGGAACAGAAATTCACTTAAAAATGTTTTAACTTGAGAAGCGAAGTAATCAGGACATGTGTGCTTTGCTCACAACTCATTTTTAAAGAAAAAACAGCTACAGAGCTAATGAGTTCTGCTGCACGGCCTGCTACCTTTCTCTGCTCTAGACCCTGCAACAACCTACACCACCTTGTTTGTGTGGTCATTTCCCCAGCACTGATCTCTTGGTGCAGGATCCAGTGGGACAGTAGTCCTAATGCATATTTGGAAGCTGGGGCAATGGCAGCCTCCATGTTCCTTTTAAGGGTGTGTGGGATCTTAGCTCCCTGACCAGTGATTGAACCCGCTCCCCCTCACTGGGAGGTGGAGTCTTAACCACTGGACTACCAGTGAAGTCCCCTTTTGTGGGCAGTCATGTTGCTTTGGTTCCAGGATGGTGATCAACACGGAGAGCAACATCCTCCTGTTCCAGTTTGAGAATATCAAGTGGCAGTACTCAGTGGAGCGAACCAAACAAAAGAAGAAGGACAGAGAGGAGGACAGGGAAGACAACAGCTTTGCAGAAGTCCTCTCCAAGTCTAGCACCCAGGTCTACAGTCCAAGAGATTCTGTGTCCAGCAAGCAGACAGCCCAGGAGTCCCTATTAAGCAAACCTCCCAGGTCCCGCATCTTCCTGAGGGCATCCAGATTACCTACAGGTGAGACAGCCAAATCCAGGCAGCCTCTGTGGTATCCTTTGGAGCAGGCAAGGGGCTGCCAGGACCAGCTTCTTTGTGGGATATTTTGGCCAATGGTTTCTTAATGATGTACATCCCAGTTCTTTAGGGCAGGTGGGAACCGTTCTCTTTGACATGACAAACTAATAGGCAGCTCAAGGGAAGCTGCTTATTTTCAAGGCCTAATCTCCAAATGTATTAGACTCTCTCTACAGGAGGTGACACTAGCCCTTCATATTTGCCATTAAAATAAGAAACAAGCTCCCAACACCCTCCTCCGTGCCCTTGATCCAAACACACGTTGCTGTTGTGTTAGTTGCTCTGTCGTGTCCGACCCCATGGACTGTAGACTGCCAGGCTCCTCTGTCCTTGGGATTCCCTAGGCAAGAATACTGGAGTGGGTTGGCATTCGCTTCTCCAGGGGATCTTCCCAATCCAGGGATCAACCCTGCATCTCTAGTGTGTCCTGCTTGGCAGGTGGATTCTTTACCACTGAGCCATCTGGGAAGCCACTTTCCAAACATATAGTTCATGATTCACTTTCCAAATATATAGTACATGATTATTTCCTTAGGACAGAGACGAGATATATTGTGCTCTTCTCTCTAGACCTCTGGTTGATAACATGCGTACCTAGAAAATACAAGATCAATAGATCACCTCCAAGCATATTATACCACAAATGATCAGCTAGGACAGAGCACTAGAAATTTCAGATAACACTTAAAGCTTGATAATCAGTAGGAACTCAGGTTGGCAGGGGCAGTCAGCAGGTGACCTAGATGAACCTTCGGTTCCAGGTGACTGCCTAGCTTCAAGGAACAAGAAACATCAAACAATAAAGTGATAATTTGGGTGAAGATCAGTTGAATTATCAGCTATGCCCCAGTAGTCATCCTTGATTGAATCACAGAATTACTACAGTTTCCTCCTCAATCTTAATTTAGGCGTGTTAATGGAGACACCTCCAAGTCCAGGAAAGCCAAAGTCACCCTGGAAAGATGGCAGGAAGAGACCGGGTTCTCAGGAAGCAAACAGCATGGGTGCCGAGCAGGAGAATTTGGAAGCAAAACCCGTTGTCGCCGGAGATCAGAAGACGGGTGATCCTTTATTCTGAATCAGTGTGATAGGATTCAATCCCTCTTTCTCTCTCTGTTCAGTTCAGTTTTTCATCAGGCCAATAACTTTGCTTATCTTTGATTCAGACAGATAAAATGCCCAGCTTCTCCTAAGAGTGACTGTGGTATTGGTTTAGTGACTGATTTCCCCTAATCGTCCCCTACTAACTTGAGGCCACACAGAAAAGTGTGAAAGTGTTTAATCACTTAGTCGTGTCAGATTCTTTGCCACCCCATGGCCGTAGCCCACCAGGCTCTGTCCATGTGATTTCCTGGCAAGAATACTGGAGTGTGTTGCCATTTCATTCTTCAGGGGACCTTCCCCACCCAGGGATCGAACCTGCTTCTCCTGCATTGGCAGGCAGATTCTTTACCACTGAGCCACCAGTGTGCTAGAATGAATCTCTTGTCCTTATCAGTGGCTTTTGGACCTGTTTTCATTCAAAACATTTTGGGATCTCCTGTCAGGAGTTGCTTTTTGGCCATGTGATAGTTTCCATTTTGCAGTGGAGACATATTTTTTGAAGGCAGTTTTGATTCTAAGAAACATCCAAAGATCTTTTGGAATCAAATTTGATTATAATAAAGTGGAGATCAAGCTTTGCTATACAAGTTTTATTTAAAAATCTATGTATGTTACTAAAAATTTATGGGCTTCCCAGGTGGTGCTAGTGGTAAAGAACCTGCCTGCCAGTGCAGGAGATGTAAGAGATGAGAGTTCGTTCCCTGGGTCGGGAAGATCCCCTGGAGGAGGACATGGCAACCCATTCCAGTATTCTTGCCTGGAAAGTCGCATGGACAGAGGGGCCTGGTGGGCTACTGTTCATGGGGTCGCAAAAAGTTGGACATGACTGAGCAACTAACACTTCACTAAAAAATTTATAAGGCCCATAAATGGGGTGTGAAGTTCATTCCCACAGGGGAATTTCAAGAATGTGTGGAACATAGAGATGTTCCTTCCAAAATATGTGTATCTAGATGTTAATGCACACTTGGACACAAATCTGTTAGCATATCTGTTAAAAGCTCATGTTAAATATGTTGTGATTGCTGGTCTCATAAGAGGATTTTTGCTCACATGATGGTGGCATGTCGCTGGCTGGGCAACAGCGACCTTAGTCTGCATAATAGTTAGAATGGATTTAATTTTCATGCATGAGTATTTAATGGTTTTCATGGAACACTGATTTGCTTTTCTTTTCTGTTTTTGGAAAAAGCAGATGATGTGGAGAAATTACCAAAACAAAGGTATCTGGGAATTTCGGGAGACTTGATCAGTTGCTCAAAGAAGTCCTGGAACATTCCTATGTCGCCTGACCAGTTCCTCCTGACCGTGAACGCCCTGCAGAAAGCCCATAATTCTGGGGAGTTTGCCTATCCCCGGAGGCCCCAGGCCCAGATCATCGATGTCTGGGGACCTTCCATTCCATACCCAAGGAAGGTCCTGAGTTTGAAGGGCCAAGAGGTCCAACAAGCAGTTGACCGACTGAGATTCAGCACTCCTCCCATAGAAGTGAAGCAGACCAGTATTCCCCTCAAAATCCAGAAGCTTCAGCCCAACCTGAAGAAGTCTGTACACGGCCCCCAAGTGCAGTCCACCATCCCCCAGCCGGTGCTTATCTGCCCCAGGTTCCGTGGTGGCTTGAAGGGCGAAGACCTGGAGACTAGTTCAACTGACGGAGTGCGCAGCTTCAGCCCCTTAACCAGCACGCAGGTCATCAAGCCAAACCGCATGCTGGCTCCGCCCACGGGCCCGGCAGCCCAGGCTGCCAAGAAAGAACGGCCCCGCTTCTACTCTGCCCTTGACCCCTTACGAGTGAACACAGAGTTCATGCTGCTGACTGTGAAGGAGCAGAAAGAATATGAGGAGGCCAGGATGAAAGAGTTTCAGGCCATAAAGCCAGTTGGAGTGGTCGATCCAGAAAAGGCCAGCAGAGCTTCATGGATCAGGAAGATCAAAGGCCTGCCCATTACGGAGCAGGGGAAAACCGCGGCCCCTGAACTTGGTCAAAATGTGTTTATTTGAACCAGCCCTGGGGAATTACACTGTCTTATAATAAACAGGAAACCAAGTAGATGTTGATATTTGGCCTCTTTTGTTTTGTTGTTTTCAACTGTTCCCTGGCAATTATCATGGGGACTCTTCATTATCTTCCTGTAAGTCAAAGAACTGATACTTATCAAAGTAAGAAAACAGAGACTAAGAGATTGGTATCTGTATTCCCACTGAAAACCATTCACTGAGATGCATGGAAACCCTGTTTCATTGATGGGGGATGGAGAAGTGGTTTTTGGAAATTTAATACCACTCATTGCTACCAATTTCCTGTGTCGTTTCTTCTAGCAAATGGACCAAAGGGATTATATCAGAATTGTGCACTGGAGTCCCCTGGTGTTTTCATACAGAAGTCTGATGAAGCACAGTAAGTTCAATTAAGGATCAAAAAGGAGCCCTCAAATTGTGTTTCCTCGGGGCTAACTCCGAGGGAGAAGAATTAATACGTCAGCAAATTTGGAAAACTCAGCAGTGGCCACAGGACTGGAATAGGTCAGTTTTCATTCCAATCCCAAAGAAAGGCAATGCCAAAGAATGCTCAAACTACCGCACAACTGCACTCATCTCACACGCTAGCAAAGTAATGCTCAAAATTCTCCAAGCCAGGCTTCAACAGTATGTAAACCATGAATTTCCAGATGTTCAAGCTGGATTTAGAAAAGGCAGAGGAACCAGAGATCCAATTGCCAACATCTGTTGGATTATCGAAAAAGCAAGAGAGTTCCAGAAAAACATCTACTGCTTTATTGACTACACCAAAGCCTTTGACTGTGTGGATCTCAACAAACTGGAAAATTCTTAAAGAGATAACAGACTACCTGACCTGCCTCCTGAGAAACCTGTATGCAGATCAAGAAGCAACAGTTAGAACTAGACATGGAACAACAGACTGGTTCCAAATCTGGAAAGGAGAATGTCAAGGCTGTATATTGTGACCCTGATTATTTAACTTATATGCAGATTTCAGTTCAGTCGCTCAGTCGTGTCCGACTCTTTGCGACACCATGAACTGCACCACGCCAGGCCTCCATGTCCATCACCAACTCCTGGAGTCCACCCAAACCCATGTCCATTGAGTTGGTGATGCCATCCAACCATCTCATCCTCTGTCATCCCCTTCACCTCCTGCCCTCAATCTTTCCCACCATCAGGGTCTTTTCCAATGAGTTAGCTCTTCACATCAGGTGGCCAAAGTATTGGAGTTTCAGCTTCATCATCAGTCCTTCCAATGAACATCCAGGACTGATCTCCTTTAGGATGGACTGGTTGCAGTCCAAGGGACTCTCAAGAGTCTTCTCCAACACTACAGTTCACAAGCATCAATTCTTCGGTGCTCAGCTTTCTTTATAGTCCAACTCTCACATCCATACATGACCACTGGAAAAACCATAGCCTTGACTAGATGGACTTTGTTGACAAAGTAATGTCATCACTGACTCAATGGACATGAGTTTGAGTAAACTCTGGGAGTTGGTGATGGACAGGAAGGCCTGGCGAGCTGCAGTCCATGGGGTCGTCAAGAGTCCAGAACAATTGAGCGACTGAACTGAACCAAACTGACCCTTTCTACACTGATAGTGTGTGTCGATGTTGCTATTTAAGCCTGCTGAGGGGCCAGGCAGGTAATTTAGAAGCATGCAGCCCAGCAAAGGGCCTGTGGCCCATTAGAGAGCTCAAGCCCCATCCAAAAGGGTTACCCTCCACTAGCCCAGCATGGCCGTGGGATGGAAACCATTCAAACAGTAGCAGAACAAAACAACAAAACACCAACCCCACAACCCATACACTGGGTGGGCCACCAAAATCCTGGCATGGCAGACTAGATGCACGGGACACCTGCTCCCAGCCTCTGCTTTCACCTCCAAGTGCATGAATACTAATGTTTGGCAGCCTTTCTCTCCTTGGAGAATTTTTTTCTCCATTATTAAGATACTAGGTGTAAAGTAGCATTGGCCAATAGCCATACAAAATTGTGATTTGTATGGAAAGAATCCCCTCAATTAAGGAAACGTGCTTCTACACATTATTCCACGAGTCTTCCAAGAGCAGTTTCACACAGGCCTAGCAGATAGAACATTGTTACAATCCCAGTTTCAGAGAAGACACAAAGTCCCTGAACTCAGCTCCTTCAAGGAGCAAGACCACATCCTTAGCCGCTAAACTTAAAACAGTAATAGCATCTCCTATTGAGTAGGTACCCACCTTGTAAGGACACCCTTTCATCACCTTCCCGAGGAAGGGAAAGAACACTGGGGTCAGTTAGATAATTGGTAAGTGCACATTTGTTTTTTCAACTGTTTCCACCATTTAAAGTACAAAAGCAATGCTGTACACATCATCGTAGAACACTCAAACGAAAACTATGGAATAATCACCTCCCACCCCCATACCTGCCCTGAGGCCATCCACACTGATGGGAAGGACACCCTGTAAGTACAAGCAACTTCTCCATGTGATAAACCATGAAGCTTTCTCGGTTAGGCTGCACGGTTAATTTCAGCTCCTGCTTGGCCCAGGCGGCGAGTCCCCGCCCACTCGCTAGCCCCGCCCCGCCCCGAGTCGCCCGGTCCCCACGCTCGCCCCACCCCACTCACTCCTCCCCCGAGAGCCCGGATGCGGAAGTGGGGCCGGGTTTCCGCTGTTAACTTCGGCTCTTCCTGGCTGGTGGAGTGGTTTTCGCGTCGGGTAGGTCCCTCCCCGCGGCTGCGGCGCTGACGTGGCTCCCGGAAGTGGGGTTGGCGCGGAGCCGTCATGTTGCAGCAGGTAAGGGGCTGTGGGCGCTGGGAGAGGGCGGCCGCGGCTGGGCCTGCCGGGTTTGAAGGGGGCGGTAGCGACGACGCCGAGTGTGGACGGGCGAGGGGAGGGGGCCGCCGCCCTGGACGTGGAATTAGAGGAGTTGCCCCCCTCCGCCCCCCACCCCCCGGCCTAGCAGTGAAGTTTATGTCGTCGAAGCAGCGTTGGAGGTGATGGACGCTTGGTCCTCTCCCGTGACCACATCTGCCTTCAGGGCTAATTACAGCCGTTACGTTTATATTTTCCTGTTTTCGGAAAGATTACACATTTACTCAGGTTATCGTAGGTGTTGTTTTCGTACTGAGGGGTTACTGTGGTCCAGGCACCGTCCTAGGCCCTGGAAAAGAGCTGCGAACAACGCGGAATGCTTCCTGCCTTGAATGGGAGGGTGAAATGGGTCGTGCGGGGGTGGGGGCTGGACCAGGGCCGGGGCGCGGAGACAGGATAATTTACAAGACTAAAGGTGTTTTCACATAGTGATAACAAAGCCAGGGTGATGTGATAGCAGAGGCCTGGTCTGTGAGTTCCAGGTGGCTGTGACCGTGTCTTTCCATTGTCTTCCGTGTTGACTACCTTGCTGCCTTGCATGGAATGGGCATGGAGGACGGAATTTCGTTTTGTTTCATGAGTGTTTACTTTTCCTCTCAGGACAGTAATGACGACACTGAAGATGTTTCACTGTTTGACGCGGAAGAGGAGACAACTAACAGATCGAAAAAATCCAAAATCAGGTATGAGGATAAGTTGTAAGGGATGGGTTAGCCTCTGGTGCTGTTTTTCTGTTGACGGGTGTGAGCACTGGGTTTCCGGGCAGAGTGGTTGTGAGAGTGCTGGTGAAGATTGTATACTGCCAGTTTGCTTTTCAGTCTGAGATGAGATGACATCTCACGTTTTCTCTGCGAATAATTGACATGGAATTTTACTCAGTACTGTTTCCAAATCTGCAAAGCCAATTATTTGAACACTGGTGTTTTTAATTCTGACTTTTGTACCAAGGACACACAGGTTTTTTAGATAGTTTCTAAAGATACATTACATTTTGGATTTATTGTGAAAGTTTCAGTACTGTATCTTTTGTATCAATTAATATGAAAACATCAAGCCAAACAAATGTCAGTTCCAAACTTAGTGCTCTCTAAAGAAATTCACTTAATGAAGTCAACCTCTACCTGAACCGAAAACATTACTCCAAGTGAGAGATAGCAGTGCAGAAGACCACATTTTATATGATTTCATTTATGTGGAATGTCCAGAACAGGCAAATCCACAGGGACAGAAAGTACCTTAGTGGTTACTGAGGGCTGGAGAAGGGGTGAGATTGGGGTAAATGGGGGCGTGACTGCCCCCAGCTATAGGATTTCTTTTTGGGGGCGGGGGGCATCATGAAAAAGTTCTAAAATTGTGTGATAGTTGCACAATTCTGTGAATATACCAGAAATCACTGAATTATACCCTTTAAACAGGTGAATTGTATGGCATGTGGTTATATCTCAATGATGCTGTTAATAAAACACCAATTCTGCCTGATGGGTATTTTGTCTTAATATCTGATTTCTGAGGGCCTGGGAATTCTGAGGGTGTGCTTTTTAGACAGATGAAAATAGGAGTCAGTCCTAAGAGTATAGTGTCCCTTATTTCTCCAACCTTGGTAAGGTTTCTTGTTGTGTATCTTGTGAAAGTTTATAGTCAGTGAGTTATAAAGTCATGTTTATATAGTGTATTTTCTGTGACAGCAGGGCCTAGTCAAATAATGGGACTTAGGAAAAAAGAGAGGTACTCGGTTTGCTTCTTCCTCAAGTCACCTTTTATTTTGAGAAGACTCTGCATGGTTCTGTGGCTGAAACATTTTCATCTACATCTGCAGTATCTGTCGTAAAATGTAATTGCATTTCTTTTGTTATGTTTTGGTTTTCAGACACCCAGTGGCATCATTTTTCCATTTATTCTTTCGAGTCAGTGCAATTATAGTCTATCTTCTCTGTGAATTGTTCAGCAGCAGCTTTATTGCCTGTATGGTGACAATTATCTTGTTGTTGTCATGTGACTTTTGGGCAGTCAAGGTAGGTTTGATTGTTTTTATCTTAAAATCCTTTAATATGATGAGATTGAATGACCTATAAACAGTAAAAAAAAAAAAACAAAAAAAAAAGACACTTGGCATTTTCGATTGGGGTTAATTTATCTCTTTGTTACCTTAGGCCTCATCTCTGTAAAAGTGCCCGTTATGTCACAGTAGGTTACTACTCTACTGACTTGTCTGTATGTTCTGTTAACCTGCATCAGCTTTAAAGCGAAACAAACAAAAATGCGACCAGCAGCTACAGACCACACGTACTGCTTCTGGTCAACACCATTGGTTTTGCTTCAGGGGTCACCTCTGGCTGTGCCATGTGTGATTTCTAGATAAGACCCCAGGATAGCTTGACCACAGATAACTGAGGGAGTCCCCACCATTGTGAAGGCTCCCGTGGGCGCTCCAGGACAGTGTTTCTTAGCCAGGGCCAATTCCCCCCACCCCAGCGGGCGTTTGTTGTGTGTCACCGTCCGAGGACATTTTTGGTTGTCACAGCTCGGGGTGGGGACGTGTGCTGTTGGCATCATGGTGGAGGCCAGGGATGCTGCTGGACATCTTAAGGTGCATAGCCGGGACAGCCCCCCATGTCAGAGAATTATCTGGTCCTGAGTGTAGATAGTGCCGGGGCTGAGGAGCCGTGGCAGTATCATAGGGGATACTGAGACGGTATGAAATGGCTCAGACCCAGAGGCTATGGTGGGTGGAGCGGTAGTTGTATAGATAGAGGGGCATGTGAGGAAGTCACTGTGGTCAAATTTGAAATGTGGACTCCAGGATTAGGCATATGAGTATTCACTGTAAAACTTTTTTGTGTATTTGGAAATTTTCAAATTTTGAATACAGGGGGGAAAAAATGCAAAAACTAGTTTTGGAATTTCAGAGATGTGTTTACTGATTCAAAAACCAATAAGATGTTACAAGTCTACTCATGCCCACCAACCCAGCCATTTTAGATCTTTTGATTCTTACAGATAATCAGAAATGGTTGGCTTGGTGGTGGCCAGTTTCTGTAGGCCACAAAATGTAGAGAATAAAGATTACAAAGATCTGTTTCATATAGGTACTTCTTTTGTGCAGTTTTCTTTGGCTTGAATTTCTTTGAATTTCTTTTGTTGCTTTATGTCCTAAAGTGTTTACTGTATCCAGGTCATAGTTTTGTTTTGACGAATGTTTCTTTTTGTTGTTCATGTTATTTCTGCCTAGCCAGATAGAACACTACCTTTTGACTTGTAGTCACTTCTTCCTGGTAGTTTCCAAAAATTAAATAATTAGAACCCTGTGGGTTTAGAGTTTTAAGAAATATGGCCAGATAATATATTTTCTGATGAACTCTTTTAGAAAAAAAGAAACCTAAGGCTTAAAGAAAGCCACTCTTTTTGTGTGGCAGGATTACTTACAGATACACAAATAATTGAGATATGAAAATTAAGTCAGGAATGGGGAAACTATTAAATGGACTGCTTACAAAATACTGGGTGGCTCGCAAACAACAGGGATTTATTTTCCACATTCTGGAGGCTGGAAATCCAGGTACAGGGTGCCAGCATGGTCAGCTTCTAGGGCCCTCCTCCAGGTTCTAGACTGCTCACCTTTCACACAGCTGAGAGCAGAGAGAGGGTAGAAACTCTCCTGCCTCTAAGGGGAACACTAATCCCATCTGCACAGGCTCCCCGCTCCCGACCTCATCTCACCCTTGTTACCTCCCTGAGGCTTTCTCCTGACACCATCACTGGGCAATGCTGTGGGGCTAGACTTTCAGTACATGAGCTTGGGGGAACGCAGTATTCAGTCCAGAAGTAGGTCCCAGTGGCTGAAGAGTCGGGTTTAGAAACAGGGAACCAGAGAAAGGATGAGAGCTCACGAGGGGAAAGAAGGGTGATGTTTGTGGATGTGCTGACCCTGTCACCTCTGTCCTGCTGGGCCTGCCGTGGCCAATGTAGTTACTCTTTTGTCCAGGCCTCGTATGTACTGGTATTAACTGGGTGTTACGGATGGAAAGCTAATGATTTGTTGTTTGTGAAATGTTACACTAAGATAGGATGTTAAGGTAGATCTGTCAGTGCTATTTTTAAAATGTGTGTATATGTATTAATCTTCACCAGAATGTCACAGGTAGACTAATGGTTGGCCTGCGCTGGTGGAATCATATTGATGAAGATGGAAAAAGCCATTGGGTGTTTGAGTCCCGGAAGGTAAACAAACAGCCTTTGGTGTTTTGGTTTTCTTGCATGTCATTTAATACATTTTGTGTAGATAATATTTGAATATATAAGGATAAATTACACATGCAGACGTAATCAACTCATAAAGAACTACCCCAGATCACTCAGCAGGGCAGTACTAAACTAGATGGCCTTCTGAGCTCCCTGTTTTCTCTGGCTGGCTCAGGCTGAAAATGATGTGTCCAGGAAAGAATCATGAGAGAGGCCTTGGGCTTGGAGTGTATGCCATGTGCCCGGCTGGTTATTGCTAAGATGTCATGGTCATAGTTAGGGTCCTGACTCCTGGACCCTGACTTGACCTTTGAGTCAAAGGTCATTAAAAATGTTTTAACTTTTTGCCAGTAAATATCACAGAACCTCGGTTATTAAATCTGTGTTGTTTTGTAGGCCTCCCCTCAAGAGGGTAAGACCGTCTCCGAGGCTGAATCAAGGATCTTCTGGTTGGGACTCGTTGCCTGTCCTGTGCTGTGGGTGGTCTTTGCCTTCAGTGCCCTCTTCTCTTTCAGAGTAAAGTGGTTGGTGAGTGTCGGTGACCCACTGAGGTGGCCAGTGGGTAATGGGAATAGGCGACCACCCGTCTTATCAATCATATCAGGGTCCCGTCTCGAACAGGCAGCTTCATCCTGTATTTCCCGAGTGGAGGTTCTCAATTCTGCTTTCCTCTGAACACTAGAAAACAGAGTCCTGTGAAAGACCCCGTCTCACCAGTTCTCCAGGTGCCCAGCAGTGTGTTGACTTAGCCCACCTAAGTGATCATCACATTGGTAATCACAGTGCAGTGATTACCACATTGATCCCATGACCTTGTCAGGTGTGGGTGGTCTGCATACTCCAGACGTGCTTAGCTTGGGACTAACGGTGGTCCTTCCTGAAAATGCTGGTGGTGACCTGTTCTGGTCACCTGCTGCAACAGTCACAGGGGCTTGTCTGGGAAGTTCTGGCTTGGGATCTTTTGTTTTTTTTTTTGATCAGACAGTGGCTGGGGGCTGATATGGCTCCTCTCTGTGAGGTCCCATGGCCTCCCACATGGATTTTGCACACGGCTAATTGGGGCTACCTCACAACCTGGTGGCCTCGTGGCAGTAAGTCAGCCTACTTGAGGGTCGTAGCCCCAGGTGAGAGGGCTGGAGCTCACGTGCTGAGGTGCCTGGTGCAGCTGTACCTGTTTGCTCCAGCTGCCCTGACAAAGTACCACAGACTGGGGGCTGACACAGCAGAACTGTGTTTCCTCCCAGTTCTGAAGGTCTCTGTCTCTCTGGCTTATTGACCGTCTTCTCCCTGTGTCTTTACATGGTCTTCCCTCTGTACATGTCAGTGTCCTAATCTCCTCTGCTTATACGGACATCAGTCATGTGGGATTAGGGCCATGTTGGTCTTTCTCTTGACCATTCTTTTGGAATTCTTAAGGAAATAATTGATACTTGCACTCCTTCTGGGTCTCAGTTACTTTTATATCTCTACTCACAGAACCATGGAAAATAGTAGAGGGGAACTGATCCGCCACCGCACCCCCGGGTCTGACACAGAGCACGCTTGTTGATGGCTGCTTGTTGGACAGTGCAGAGCTCGTGGTGGATGAGTCTGTTCTGGAAGGGAGACAGGAGTTGTCTCTGCCACCCTTCACAAAACTTCTTCCTCCTCCTCTTTCCCGAGCTGGGCTCCGTGTCTCATTGATGGCAGAGAGAACGGTCAGTCACCGTCAGGCCAGTAACCGTTGATTGTTGCCCTCCCCCAGGCGGTGGTTATCATGGGCGTGGTGCTGCAAGGGGCCAACCTGTATGGCTACATCAGGTGCAAAGTGGGAAGCAGGAAGAACCTAACCAGCATGGCCACCTCGTACCTTGGGAGGCAGTTTTTAAGACAAGTAAGTGTTCTCTGGAGGTGAGGATCACTTTGATGTGGTCAGTGACTGATGCAGTGATGATTTCTAACTCTTGTAGAGTTTAATTTCTATGAAATACTTGAAGTTTTTAAAGGGATATATTTAAGTATGAAATGATGATAGTCAAGTTATTTTATTTTGTCTTTGGAAGCTTTTAGGACATTCCAAAAATGTCAGTGTCCTGAAGTTATTTTAAAACCAGAGGGCTAAAATGTTCATTGACAATAATTTTTTTTTTTTTAAGAAAAATTAGCTGAAGTTCAGTTGCTTTCCATTACTTCTGGTGGCAGTCTTGAAGAATGTATCTTATACGGTTTTAGGGTTTATAGTAAGAGCAAGTTAGAAACATAAGACTGTATCATTAAAGATTATTTTTAAAGTATTCAGATTTTTTTAAGAATGTGTAAGACAGAGGATCAGATGGCTGGATGGCATCACCAACTCGATGGACATAAGTTTGAGTTAACTCTGGGAGTTGTTGATGGACAGGGAGGCCTGGTGTGCTGATTCATGGGGCTGCAAAGAGTCGGATACGACTGAGCGACTGAACTGAATTGAACTGAAGTTTTATTACTGTAGTTTCTGGATGTGAAGGTTTCGGTTAGAGTTTTCAGTGGGATCAGTAGTATTTGTAGGTAAAAATAGTTGCTGGTAAAATCTTTAGGAAATTGATTAGGTCTTTGTGTGAGTGATGCCTCACGTTTGTGTTTGTGCAGTAGGTTGGGCAGGTAATGATGCACGGGACAGTTAGAGGTTTTCAACCTTGGCCCTGCATCAGGCTTGCCTGGAGGGCTAGAACACAGATCTTGGGGTTCCACCCCCAAAGTTTCTTACTTACTTGATAACCTGGGGCCAGGTCTCACCAGTTGCATGTTTACAGGTTCCCAGGTGGTGCTGATGTTGCTGGTCCAGAGATTACATTTGTGACTAAGGCCCTGAGAGGTCAAGTGGCATGTCAGAAATATACAGTGGCTAAGTGGTTCAAAGTGAGGGCTTACAGCAATCAGAGCAGAAAAAGAAAGAAAAGGAATCCAGATAGGAAAAGAAGAAGTGAAACTCTCGCTGTTTGCAGATGACATGATCCTCTACATAGAAAATCCTAAAGACTCTACCAGAAAATTACTAGAGCTAATCAACGAATACAGTAAAGTTGCAGGATATAAAATTAACACACAGAAATCTCTTGCATTCCTATACACTAACAATGAGAAAACAGAAAGAGAAATTAAGGAAACAATACCATTCACCATTGCGACAAAAAGAATAAAATACTTAGGAGTATATCTACCTAAAGAAACAAAAGACCTATACATAGAAAACTATAAAACACTGATGAAAGAAATCAAAGAGGACACAAACAGATGGAGAAATATACCGTGTTCATGGATTGGAAGAATCAATATTGTCAAAATGGCTATACTACCCAAAGCAATCTAGATTCAATGCAATCCCTATCAAACTACCAACGGTATTTTTCACAGAACTAGAACGAATAATTTCACAATTTGTATGGAAATACAAAAAACCTCGAATAGCCAAAGTAATCCTGAGAAAGAAGAATGGAACTGGAGGAATCAATCTGCCTGACTTCAGACTATACTACAAAGCCACAGTCATCAAGACAGTATGGTACTGGCACAAAGACAGAAATATAGATCAATGGAACAGAATAGAAAGCCCAGAGATAAATCCACGAACCTATGGTCACCTTATCTTTGACAAAGGAGGCAAGGATATACAATGGAAAAAAGACAACCTCTTTAACAAGTGGTGCTGGGAAAACTGGTCAACCACCTGTAAAAGAATGAAACTAGAACACTTTCTAACACCATACACAAAAATAAACTCAAAATAGATTAAAGATCTAAATGTAAGACCAGAAACTATAAAACTCCTAGAGGAGAACATAGGCAAAACACTCTCCGACATAAATCACAGCAGGATCCTCTATGACCCACATCCCAGAATTTTAGAAACAAAAGCAAAAATAAACAAATGGGACCTAATGAAACTTAAAAGCTTTTGCACAACAAAGGAAACTATAAGCAAGGTGAAAAGACAGCCCTCAGATTGGGAGAAAATAATAGCAAACGAAGCAACAAAGGATTAATCTCAAAAATATACAAGCAACTCCTCCAGCTCAACTCCAGAAAAATAAATGACCCAATCAAAAAATGGGCCAAAGAACTAAACAGAGATTTCTCCAAGGAAGACATACAGATGGCTAACAAACACATGAAAAGATGCTCAACATCACTCATTATCAGAGGAATGCAAATCAAAACCACAATGAGGTACCATTACACAACAGTCAGGTTGGCTGCTATCCAAAAGTCTACAAGCAATAAATGCTGGAGAGGGTGTGGAGAAAAGGGAACCCTCTTACACTGTTGGTGGGAATGCAAATTAGTACAGCCACTATGGAAAACAGTGTGGAGATTTCTTAAAAAGCTGGAACTAGAACTGCCATATGACCCAGCAATCCCACTTCTGGGCATACACACCGAGGAAACCAGATCTGAAAGAGACATGTGCACCCCAATGTTCATCGCAGCACTGTTTATAATAGCCAGGACATGGAAGCAACCTAGATGCCCATTAGCAGACGAATGGATGAGGAAGCTGTGGTACATATACACCATGGAATATTACTCAGCCATTAAAAAGAATTCATTTGAATCAGTTCTAATGAGATGGATGAAACTGGAGCCCATTATACAGAGTGAAGTAAGCCAGAAAGATAAAGACCATTACAGTATATTAACACATATATATGGAATTTAGAAAGATGGTAACGATAACCCTATATGCAAAACAGAAAAAGAGACTCCGATGTATAGAACAGACTTGTGGACTCTGGGAGAAGGCGAGGGTGGGATGTTTCAAGAGAGCAGCATCGAAACACGTATATTATCTAGGGTGAAACAGATCACCAGCCCAGGTTGGGTGCATGAGACAAGTGCTCGGGCCTGGTGCACTAGGAAGACCCAGAGGGATCGGGTGGAGAGGGAGGTGGGAGGGGGGACCGGGATGGGGAACACATGTAAATCCATGGCTAATTCATTTCAATATATGACAAAACCCACTGCAATGATGTAAAGTAATTAGCCTCCAACTAATAAAAATAAATGAAAAAAAAAATAAATTAAAAAAAAAACAAAAACAAAGTGAGGGCTTAACTCAGCTCTCCTCTCTTGAAATTCGTTGCTCTTTCCTGTATGGTTTCTCGTGTAGGAAAGTTAAGAAGTGGGGAAAGCAAGGATTCTTGCAGGGCCATGATTCCTCTTTAGGGCTTTGGCAGAGTCCCAGTATACTTTGGCTGGGTGAAGTCCACCTTATGGTAATTTTCAAGTGTGTGCTCAATAGGTTTTTCCCTTCAGATTTTGATCTTTGAGCCTGACGTACATGGACGGGGTCAGTAGACTTACATGGCAGCCAGTGATGCTCTGCTCCAGTGAGACTGCTTGCTGGACATCCGGGTGGACTCACTGCTTTACTTCTTCAGCGTGACAGTAATTTTTAACATAATTGGGCCACGTAGTAACTGCATCTGCTGACAAATACGAAATGTTTTCCTAGTGCTTTGAATCTGGTGTTTTATGTAAAATAGCTTTTCTTTGTTTTGTGAATCGATTTTGGCATTAAGGAATTGTTTCTCTTTTGCAGACAGCTGGCGACACTCAGACCACCTCAGGAGAGTGAAAGCCTGCGTGCTTTTTTCATGGGGAACCGCCCAGGGCGGGTCTCGACTGAAACTTCAGAACTCAGAAGCTATTGCAAAGAGGAGTGTGGGGTTTGTTTTTTCATTTAAAAATTTACTTTAAGAAAAAGGAAAAGTAGTTTTCATATTGTCTTCTTTTTATCACCTGGGCCTTGAAGTTGTGGTATGGCTAGAAACACTGTCAGCATTTGGTTTATGGTATACATAGGTGTCTGTCCATAGTCTTGTGAAATTGCTGTGTCTTAAGTTAAAGTGTTTGTGTTCATGTCCATGTAAATGGAGACCTTTGCGTCTTGGTTCATAGAACACAGAAGGATGTTCTTAGTCGATCTCAAAACTCTCTGTGTTTACCTACTGTTTCTGTAGAATTTTAGAAGTTTTTGCTTCCATGGTAAGAGTGAGCACTTTGGCTAATGTGTACGTTAGAAATAATGGTTAATTTTACATTTAATATATACTTCATGGTGAAACTTCTTATCCTAGGCATTCACAGGCAGGTAAAAACCACACTTGGGCTGTTGGTGTTAACTAGTTTCTAAAATTTGGCTTATTGATGAGTCTTGTATTGCAAGACCCAGTTAACATAACAGGAACATTAATAGTGTATTTTCATGGGATTCCTAGGGATTGCTGCTGTTCTATTTATTTTTTGGGGAGAATAGCCAGATTTTACTTTGCAACTCCCAGAAGCTCTTCAGTGGTCCTTGGCCTAATGAAGTCTTTCTCCACTTAAAGAGTATTATTCTTATGTCATAGTGAGAATAATTATTTCGATACTTGGCATTGTAAATGCCTAAAAGACGTTTTATTTTATGAATCTATTTTTTTGTCTTGCTGTGATAGGGATATTGTAAATCATGCATTTGTATTAATGGTATTTCTTAAAACAACATATGTAACAATCTGCAAAATACCGTAGGCATCTGAATTCTGTCCTAGGTACTGTAAACTTTGTTTTAATCAATGGATTATTTTGTGACTGTATTTATACATTGTTAAAAATTTTTTGAAGATGTTTTGTTTAATTGAATGAGTGTCTTTATTGGAGTGAGAGCTTTGAAGGTGCATAACTTTATATTTGTATAAAACTCTACTGTTTACAAAGCACTGTGGCGTTTGTGATCTCCTTTGATCCTCATGGCAAACCTGTTCTGTGTGACACCAGTGTATTGGTGACAGAGCGGGACCTCAGGCCACTGAGTGACTTGTTCAAGAGGCCACTGATTACAGGAGGACCCATCAGGACACGTGTCTGATTTTTGAGGAAATCCTTGTCTCTAAATGTCCTTTCCTTTCTTATGAATCATTAACTTGCTAAGCCGTTAATTTGGTAAGTGGTTGTTTCCATTTTATTTGTACTCAGCTGGTGAGGAAAGTGAATGCTATGTAAAGACATGTTCTTATTGAACCTGAAAGATATGCCGTCGGTCTGTTGAGTTGGGAGCCCAACAGGAGACCCAGTGGTGTCGTTCTGAAGGCAGCTGTTGTTGTTTGAGGCTGCGATCCTAAACCGAAGTGAATTTCGGGTCGCGCACGTGGCAGCACCTACCGTTTACTGCTGTTTATCCCCCACTGTTGGCTTTTCCCTTCTGCTCATTTCCCACTTACTAGCCAGAACATGGCAACAAAGACACTGTTTTCCAGATTTTTTTGCCCTTTCGTAGCTTCGCTTCCAGGAAGTGTCCTTAGAAGGATGGCGTGCCTATCTCTTCTCCTTTCCACTCCTGTTAGCTGAAATGTACATGGAACAGATGGTGCTTGAGTAGTTGTGGTCAGTGAGGTGGAAGCCTCCTCTTGTGAACAGCAGAGAAGTGGAGGTTGAGTTCCCTCTGGTGGGGACAGTAGCCCTGAAGTGTCTGTCTGAATTTTTAATTGAGAAACAGACTTCTGTCTTTTTTAAGTGTTACTGCTGTTTTCCTGTTGCTCCAGCCTAACTGAATGCTTATCAGTCTGTATTTTTAGCTTCCCCCACAATTGTTTCTGTTAGTGTGGAATTTATGAGATGTAGGAGTTCAGCAGACACACATTTGCTCTTTCCACTGTGAGGTATTTAAGCTAACAAGTCCAGCCCTTCCAGATGCTGTTGTTGCATAAAAATTGACCCCGAAACAAAGCCTTGCAGAGCAGTCATTTCATGACACTTACACAAGCCGGGGATCAGGGGTCTGGGTGAAGCCCATCAGAGACAGCTTTTCTCTGCTACACAGTCTAGGCTCAGCTGAGAGGTTTGAAGGCTGAGGTTTGCATGCTGTCCAGGAGGCAGGAAGCATCTCGGGGTGTCTTCTTGGGTCTGGAAGCTGATGCTGGCTGTCAGCTAGACTGCAGCCAGGTTGCTGGTTAGAACACCTACATTTGCAACCTCTGGGTTGTCCCTCCGTGGAGGCTCAGCTGGGGTCTCAGACAGGCTTCCCTAGGGAGCCAGAGAGGTGTGTGTGATGTTCTATGGTTAGCCTTGGGATTCACGTAGTGTCGCTTCTGCCACGCTCTGGTTGAAGCAGCCACAAAGTCCCCCTGCGTTCACAGAGAGGGGACATAGCAACCATCTTTGGAAGGTAAAAATCTGCCCCCCATACACTTTAATCGTTTCAAGACTGAAAGCTAGTTGGAAGAGACTGTGGGGTGCAAATATTGCTTTCATTTTTGTCTTGCTTGGTCAGCCTTGAGCACAAGTGAATTGGCTGACTGGTGCAGTTAATGTGGAAAGCAGTGTTGCATTCCCCAGTCCCCGTGTATCTGTTCCCTGACCCACCTTTGAAAGCTGTATGTTGTGCAGAACTTATGGCACAGTAAGTCCACCAAGGTGTCGGTACTGTCATCCGTCAAATTTGTAAAACTCTTCAGAGCTCATTCAGAGTTCCTTCATGTCTATTAACCTCATTTGATTCTCCCTCTTTAACTGCCAGAGGGAGGTGAGACCGTGAAAACCTCGTGTTACTGACAGTTGCATGTAGTAGAGACACGTGATGTTCCCCTGCTGTTCCTTTTGTTCTCCTCTGCTTCCCAGCAGCCCCCTACCTAACAGAAGCCATGGGTCAGCTGTGGCCCATGTGATGCAAGTGAAGTGTGATCTGTGTCACTTCTGGGTGAGGAAGGTACAGTGGATGTGGGATTCTCTGATCTTCTTCCCTTCCAAGGCAGCCAGGGGTGCTTGAAGTCGTACCTCGGCCAGCCAGGTCCCTGGGGGGCTTGTCCAGCAGAATTTCCCACCTGCTGCTATCAGACGAACGGTGTGAGTGAGGAGTAAACTCCTGGTGGAGCCACTTGATCTGGTGAATTGTTTCCATAACAACACAACACAATAGCCTGTTCTGATGAATACAGGTGCACAACTGACAAGTAATTCTCAAAACTTTAAAGTCCCAGTTTGCTGTTGGATTCTGGTCCCTTGGTTCAAGGTTGCCAGTTCTGGTCATACCAGACACGAGAAGTCAGCCAGGTGAAAACTCAAGCAGGAGGGTCCACCTGCATCTGAATGAACCGGAAGCTCCTCATTTCCAGCCATTGCTTGCTTTCTCAGGCATGTGGTCTCTGTGTGTCTAGGGTTTTCAGTTTTTCAAGAGAAACGGAAAATTTGGATGCTTGTATGAAATCTAGTCTTAATGCTTGTAAATTAAATGTTAAAAGGAAAAAAGAGAACACATGAAGCCAAACAGTTTGTTTGCAGGTCAAGTTTGGCTGTGCTAACTTTTTCTGTTGTGTGATCATGTTCACACTAGTGGGACTCTCTCTTCTGAGTCTTGAGTCAAAGCTGAGTGTGTCTGTAATGAGAACAGCTGTTTGGCCATCACCCACTCAGCCCTAACCACCAATTTCGGAGGAGCCCCCAAGCCACTGTTTGCAAGCCACTGCTAGGAACGTGAAGCCAAAGTCTGTGTGGTTTTGAGGAACATGTTCTCAAATCATGTGTCAGATACATTTTCAATTAAAAATAAAGTCAAAATAATAAGTTCTTGTGAGAAGCAGGAAGCATTCTTTCTGTCCTTTTTATTGTTATTCTAGAAGGGAAAGAGCAAGCCTGTTGTTTCCTGAAGAAGTTAAATGTGCCAAGGAAAAGGGTAATCTAACCTTTACCCACTTTTAATTCATGAAGAAATAATAATTAAAGTACTATGGTCAGAAAATAAAATAGTACCAAAGGGCTACAAAGAAATGCAAGTCTTGCCCACTCTCAGTTCTGCTATCAAGTAGCAGACATCTTTAGCTGCTGCAGTTTTTGTATTAGGGGGTATTTACCTCCATACTGAATAAAATGCTTATTGGTTTTTCAGTGTTTCTTGACTTACCAACTGTCTCTATCAGCTTTTGGCTTCCTACTATGAAAAATGAAGATGCCTATCAGCAGACGAATGGATAAGAAAGCTGTGGTACATATACACAATGGAATATTACTCAGCCATTAAAAATAGTACATTTGAATCAGTTCTAATGAGGGATGAAACTGGAGCCCATTATACAGAGTGAAGTAAGCCAGAAAGAAAAACACCAATACAGTATACTAGCACATATATATGGAATTTAGAAAGGTGTAATGATAACCCTATATGCAAGACAGAAAAAGAGACACAGATGTATAGAACAGACTTGGGCTCTGTGGGAGAAGGTGAGGGTGGGATGATCTGAGATAATAGCATTGAAACATGTATATTATCTAGGGTGAAACAGATCACCAGTCCAGGTTTGATGCATGAGACAAGTGCTCAGGGCTGGTGCACTAGGATGACCCAGAGGGATGGGATGGGGAGGCAGGAGGGAGGGGGGTTCAGGATGGGGAACACATGTAAATCCATGGCTGATTCATATCAATGTATGGCAAAAACCACTACAATATTGTAAAATAATTAGCCTCCAACTAATATAAATAAATGGAAAAAAAAAGAAAAATGAAGATTTAACTCAAACCCCTCAGGTGGTGCTAGTGGTAAAGAACCTGCCTGCCATGGTCCCTGGAGGAGGTCATGGCAACCCACTCCAGCATTCTTGCCTGGATAATCCCATGGACAGAGGAGCCGAGGGGGGCCACAGTCCATAGGGTCACACAGAGTCAGACACTACTGAAGTGACTTAGCACACAG